TGTTGCATGTTTTTCCCTTTAAATTTTTCAATATACCGAGAGCCGAGACCAAGAAGCCATATGTCCACATTTTGTTTGTGTGTTTTTTGTTCATTATCAATAAATATTCAACAACCAATGCAGTATGAGACCAATAAATCTAGTCTTAAGAATGATACAACTTTAAAAAATATTTAAATAATTAGTCGGAAATTCTAAAAAAATTATTTAAATAATTAATCGGGCATTTAAAACATTATTCGAACATATTTATAACCTCGCGCAACTAACCCACCTTGGGTAATAAGCATTGAAAAAACTTTTTTTTTTTAAATTACATAATGCACCTCTAGAGGTGCATCATGAATGCATAATGAAAGGAATAAGGAGACAACACATAGGAGAGCACTCCTATCTTGTTCCTTTCGGCAAAATAGGAACAAAATTTTAAATCATTCAATAATGTTTTGATTCCCGCCCAACCTGAAAAATAACTGACTGTTTATCCTGTTCAAAACCACTGCCTGGTTTAAGCACCGGCGTTACCACATTGGTAGTTTGAAAAAAAGCAACTTTTTTGACTATGCGATAAAAATCCTATCTACTAAGAACTTGTACCGAAGAATTTTCTAGTAAGCTGATAATTAAAGTTTAGAGAGCTTCAACCACTTATAACAGAAAACTGATAATTAAAGTTTAGAGAGCTTCAACCCTTTATAACAGAAAGCTGATAATTAAAGTTTAGAGAGCTTCAACCACTTATAAAAGAAAACTGATAATTAATGTTTAGAGAGCTTCAATTACCCGAAATTGTGAAATTACGAAAAACTGAGTTTTTTTAACCAAATTGAGTTTATTGTAACTCAAATTGTTTTAACTTTATCAATTTTTGTTAAAATGTTGATAAAACGGTATCAAAAGATAAGTGTAAGAGTGGGCTACAAATTTATATTGACTTATATTAATAGAAGCCAATATAAATTTGTTTCAGAAGATTAGTGTCTTTTTTTTTATGCTTGTTAAGGTGCTCCCAAAAATTCCTTATGGTTTTTTCACAGAGATCCGCAAACGTGCTAGAACCGACATCAAACCTCTTGGTTCTGAGCTAAAATTCTAACCACTGCGCCACAGCTGCACATTTGTTGAATTAGTTCGGGCATCAATCCATAAGTTAACCTTCCAATAAATTGAGCCTTTATAAATAACCGACTGTTTTCTGAAAAAAAACAACCACACATCCCTAAAAAATCGTCTTGTAATCGTTTGCGTACGTAATAAGTAAAAAGTACAGTTCCAGGACCATTTTCGCAAGTCACAACACGTGCTGGTTTATTAATTATTAATTTGAGCAGCCGTGGCGCAGTGTTCAAACCCACCACTGGGCAAGTTTTGCGACATCGTTTAGGAAGGAGGCGTGAACTTCCAATTAAATGCTCATCCGCGGTGCTCTGTGATAAGACTGTAGGACTTTTTGGGGGCACTTAAATAAAAAAAAAAAAAAATTGAAAAAAAAATAAAGATTTAAAATTAGAGAATATTAATAAAATAGGCATCTTCAAGCTGTTGCAAAACTAGTTATGCCAGATAGCGGATCAATAACTAAAACCAGTTGTGCCAGATAGCTACGGATCAATAATTAGTTAGTTAAGAATCTAAAAATTAAAAAAGAAATAAGATAATTAACAAACAAACAAAAAAAAAAACAGTGGCAAATTTTAAGTGTCGAATTCGCTTCGAAGCAACCAAAAAGAAACTTAATGCAACACAAATAAAGAATAAATTATTATTGCCTGTCACCAATAAACATGTTGCACATATTCTACGTACAACACCAAACGTAAAGTGGAAGAAACCACGCCAAAAACCAATGTTAAAAATACACAATAAAATTGCTAGATTACAGTTTGATAAAAACCATATGCATTGGACTCATAAGTGGCAAAACGTAGTATTTTCAGATGAAAAAAAATTCAATCTAGATGATCCGGACTCTTACAGTTGTTATTGGCATGATCTAAGAGGAATAAATGACCCACAAACAAAACGAAATTATGGTGGAGGAAGTTTAATGGTTTGGGGTGGATTTACTTGTTCAGGAAAATAGACTTTGTGTTGTGGTTTACCTAAAATGAATTCAATAAAGTATACAGAAATGTTGAATGATGTTCTCATAACTTATATGGATGAAAACATGGACGATAATGCCATATTTTAGCAAGATAATGCTGCAATTCACACATCTAGGCATTCTATGAAATGGTTTAAAGACCACAACATCCCGGTTCTTGAGTGGCCAGCTTGTAGCCCGGACTTAAATCCAATCGAGAACGTGTGGGGAATGCTAGTAAGAAAAGTTTATGACGCTAAAGCAGCCGGACACCAATTTAAAACTGTTACTGAGTTAAAGTCTAAAATCCTTGAAGCATGGTCCGAGTTGGATCAAACTACACTTCAACGACTAGTGGAGTTAATGAAAGGCAGAATTTTTAAGGCGATCCAGTGTAATGGAGGATTTCCATCTTTTAATGTCAAAAATATGACTGCGTCTATAGATATATTTCAATTCAAAAATGTACTTTTGTATATCAAACATACTCTCATGTTAATAAAGACACATAGAAAAAGTTTTTTTGTGAATTTTATTAGCCCACAACACAACAATTATTTTGATAATAACTTGCATGCATATCAGTTTACAATTCATAAAAAAAAATTAAGATAAAGAGAAAAAAATTGATGCGTCTAAACGAGCCTCAGTGTAGATGGAACTAAAATAAATATTAAAAAAAATAGAGTAATGAAAAAAAAAAATCTACAAACTATAATTAAATAAAAACTTCAATTATGGATGTAACTCTTTATTTTTTGAGTTTTTTTATGGATGTAACTGTTTATTTTTTGACAATGAGGGTATCTATACTCGCTTGAAATAATGTATAAAAATTAACTAAAAAAATAAAGAGTTACATCCATAATAGAAGTTTTTATTTAATTATATGTTAAACTCTTTAATGATGTCTTTCAAAAATTTATATCTACTAACTCTAATTGTTTTATTTTAAAAAGGTATTTTACAAACCTTACCAGTTACTTACCACTTACCAGTTACTTACCACTTACCAGTTACTTACCACTTACCAGTTACTTACCACTTACCAGTTACTTACCACTTACCAGTTAGCAACTATCAAAGTATGTTTCCAACAAATCATTTATATTTATATTACTTATAAATGTGTTCCATAATTTTTTCAATTAAAAAAAAAAAATTCAAACGAAACAACAACAAAAAAAATACTAGGCTGATATTTATGCATCTTCCAACCAAAAGTTACCAATAACATGAAAAATACACTAAACTATTTATTGTCTATTTATTTGTCTTATTTTAAATTAATAACTAAAGTATTAAGGTATATATACATATAATAACGTAATATATAATAACGTAACCCCCAAATTTTTTTTTTTAAATTGCACTAAATTATTGTTTTATTTGTTGTAAATATTATCATTTTTATATAAATATAACAATTTGACAGTTCGACCACTCCTCTAACACCCACATAGAAAGTGAGAGTTTGCGACAGAATATAAGGTGCCTGCAACACATTTAATGAAACTTACCAGGTACATTAAAAATAGGTATAAAAATATTTTTAATTGAGAACCAATTATCCTTCAATGGATACTTAATGTGAGCAAGGTATTCATCAAAATCATTCAAATTGATTTAAGGTGGTTCATACCCTTATTTTTAGTCAAAAATCCAAAAAAATTATTTTGGCTAGGTGTTATGCAAAAGTTTATAATAAACTCAAATATATTATTGGAATTTATAAAAATATTAAATATGTTGACTAAAATTCATTTTTATGCAACCCTATAAAAATTACGGCCTTAGCAATACCATAGCAACGACCCTTTAATGTTGAACTAAATTTCATTATAAACTAGAAAACTTGGAAAAAGTGTTATTGAATCCGAAAAAGAAAGACAATACTTATGTAAAATCCATAATTTAAAATAATATTTTTTTGCCACGTGAAATTAGAGTTGTTTAATTTGCAATTTTTTCATTTGCCATTTTGTTTATTGCTATTGTTGTTATATACTCCAAATAAAAATAAATCAAGGGTGTTCAATTTTGTTCAATTCAAAGAAATGCCACAAAAATGGAGTTTTAGTACAAACTTCAGTTTTATAAAACGCAATTTCTGCATACCTGGTTAGGTAAAATATGTTCTAGCGAATCACAAGTAATTATTGATAATCTACTATCCTAAGAAATTTTTCAACAATCGTTATGAGAAAGGTTTAAAATATGTTTAATAAAATCATAATGAGATTTGTAACATGACGTGGAGATGACGTATTCATTTCAATGGATTACTTTTCTAAAGGAGAGTTGGCAATGCTTTATCATTTAAAACTTTTGGAGTATACCAGAAATTGATCTTCAGTAAAGTGAAGTTTACATATCAAGAAAAGATAATTTCAATAAAAACACGAAAACAACTTGACAAATGCTGACAACAACAATCTTTATGTGCAGATTTGGAAGTCCAGAAACGAAAAAAAACAGTATGAAAGAGTTGAAACAATGCGCTATTAATCGCTTCCAAACTATATCCTATTTATATAAACTATATAACTATCTTTTCAATTAGTGTCAGTTTATCTTTTTTAAAAGACTCAACGTTTTTTTTTAACAATATAGTTTTTTTAGTTCTCATAGCAACTTTATTTTAATTAGCCTGGATGAATTTTAACAAATAATTATAAAATGTTAATACGCAGCTTTGTATTTTTTATTTACTCCTAATCAAACAATGCTACATTTACTGTGTAATTTCCTATGAGGGAAATGTAATTATTTTTTTCGCCCACTCAAAGGAAGTCTATAAAAGAAATTGCGTACTTCTAATAATTGAGCATTAACATTACTTAACAAATTAACAAACATTACGTATACACGTTATTAATCTAAATTGTAGTATCGCGTTATTAATAAATGTATAATAACTTTAAAATTATATTAATGTTCAAAGAGTATTTTTTACATAGCATACAGAAATAATGAAAGAATTAAATTTTACATTTACAAATAAAAAATGCTGAATCCATTTAAAACTTTTTTTAATTTGGCAAACATGTATCGTTGTAGAGCCATTTGATTTCTCGTACAAGTTTGAATGTAATTCTTTCTCGTACAACGCCAAGTTTGAATGTAATTCTTTTCTACACTTTCTTATTACAATTTTAGTTGAAACATTGGTTAAAAATGATACGAATAACGAAACAATGTTGTTTATTTAAGGGCCAATGACACCCGGGATACCTGCCCCCCCCCCCTACTTTTTTTCTAAAGGCCATTTTTTTTTTCAGAGTAGAGAACTTTTTTAGAAACTGACGATTGAGCCCCCCCCCCCCCCCCCCCCCACTTTGAAACTCGTGTCGTTGGCCTTGTATTTATGTTACATTTTATTGCTTAACCACTCTCTCATACTTCGTTTATTTCTATTGGCCAGTATTTTGCTTGCCATTGACTACATTTTTTCCCAATTTAAACAAATGGCGGAGTTGTTGAAATACTTTTTTTCATTTATTGAAATATTGCAGATGTGGTCCAAAATATTCAGTAAATTTCATATAATAACATTCATTTTTGTAATCGTTTCCTTAAATTATATTTATAGATATTTTGTCGTGCAGTCAATATTCAAAAATGCAACAAAATCTGTAAAGTTAAGTCTGTTCTGAATTGATTTTATGGTCTCGATTAACTTATAATAAAAGAGACTTTAATGCTCTTTAAATGTTTCTGGATAGTTTTTTTCAACTTTCTGATCTTGATCTTCATGAGGCTTTACAAGAAATAAGCTTTCTTTTAGATTGTTAAGTAATCGTTTTCTTGGACATTTTTTTCTAATTTTTCACTTTATATTTTTAATTCCAATTAATATAATTTTAATTAAGAGAATGACATTGGCGTGAGCTAACAATACTAGTAACAGCTCCTGATTTCCTGGCATGTTGATAGCACCTTCATAAGATTATTGGAGCTAATGCTCCTGATTATTTTCCTGGCATGTTGATAGCACCTTCATAAGATTAAGCCCCGTTTTGTTGCGAGAAAGCTGCATTTAAACTAATCTATCTTGTATAACTTTGAATGAACTTTGTAAGATCTTGTAATAACCAAGTAAATCTTTATTAAAGGTAAAGTTATCAGAAATCCATTGTAAACAAAAATTTAACAGTTGCTCTTTATTTAAAACATCAGTACGTTCAAGAATCTTTGTTTCATTGTATTTACTTAATTTAATACAAAGAATAAAAAATGAATTTTAAAATTTTTTTTCAAAAGGACTCATCTAGTCATTATTTCAATAAAAACATTTTGAAAATCGTTATGTAAAGACTTCCATTTCGACGAGTTGTTTTCATTATTAATTAAGCTTTTAAAATCAGATTTATTTTTGGATCTTAAAAGTTGCCGAAGATTGTCGTTTTTACGGTCTGAGTTGAATGCAATAAGCTGTTGAGCTAGGTACACATGGTTAAAAAAGTAAGCCGGTGCTTTCTTCCAAATGTCCAGCTGTTAACACTCTTATACATATATGATTCATCTTACTTACGCACCACCACAAAATTTCGTTGTACTTAATGCAAAAGAGGCATAAACAGTTTCTTACTTAATTATTATGAAGCCAGAAAATTTTAAACTATGAGATTAACAACTACACTGTTTCTTACTCAAAGTTTATTTTGGAAATTTATATTAACCATTTCAACAAAGTTACTTGATTTCTTTAACTTCGTTTAGTATGTATGGTTTCTTTAACTATGGAATTTTTGGAAGAAGTTGTTTTAGAATTAATTCGTTTAGTATGTATGAATGAATGATAGAAACAATATTTTTCTGGCATCTAACTTTGACAAAATTTTAAAAAAAACTTATTGACTTTGACATGACTAAATGTTAAACGTTTAAGATTTATTAAAACACCTTGGTGGTTTAATAAATCTTAAAACACTAGCAAACTTGGTGGAGTGGTTAGTGTTCTGGCTTCATAACTAGAGGTCCGTGGTTTGAAGCCATCCTTAGCCATTTATGCATTACTGATAAGGAAGGAGGCAAAAACTTCCTGGCATTTTTGGAGAGTCTTAAGAACATTTTATATTCTAATTAATAACCACAATATTAAAACCACTTTTAATGTAAGGTTAGAATAACCACAATATTAAAACCACTTTTAATATAAGGTTAGAATAACGCAACATTTTCATCTCACATAACTAAAATATTTCTTTTGTTTTCAAAAATTAATGACTGTTTATAAATAAAATAATTTTAAATAAATCAACCAACCAATATCCTTGCCAATAACAAAATCAATGCACTGAAATAAAAAAATGAGAGCGAACTTTCTAAAGAAATTTCAGGAGACTAAAATCGAAAAACATAAAACCTTTGATTACATACTAACGAAAATACTAACATGATGTAGGCCTCTTCAAGAAGTTTTACATGTTATGATACAAAGTGCCGGCATTCAAAGAAATTCTTTTCTCTTTATTTGACACCGGAGACAAAAAACATTAACATATTTTTTGTTTTGTTTTGTAACATTAGAACTACTGATTTCAAAATATAGTTTTATATATTGATATTTTAAGATATATTATCTACGTTGGCTTATAATTGCTGACAAGCTTAAAACTCAAACATAAAGTGTTTTTATTTAGTTTATAAAAATAAATAAATATACTACTCTATTGTTTAATAATATGTTTGTTTTATAATGAGCACTCTCAAACACACAAGAGTATTTGTATTATTATACCATAGTAGTACATTAACTTTTTTATGTGCGTTTTGAAACTTTATTAAACATACGTGCTAGTTCATGTAGGACTGTGCCATTTAATCAACTTCCATTTATCTGAGGTATATCATCGTTTTTGCCAAACTGTTCCAAATGACCTGAATAATATATATTAAATTAAAAAATCTAAATTATTATAATTATTAAAAAACTCCTTAAACTTATAAGTATGGAGTTTACCTTGATTTTTTTTCTTACAAATATTGAACCTTTTTTGTCAGGAAAGTTGTTATAAATGTCAGCGGAAATAAAATGACATCATTGCATAACCGTAAAAGCATCAATTAAGTTGTTCCGCACTTTTTAGTTTTTACTATTTTTTTTTGCATTAATCGATTAATGTGTTACTCGGTTGCGATACAAATAAGCTGATTAAAAACTTCTCGCGGTGCTTATTTACGCTGTCATTGTTTCAAATACAAATCAAATCTTGTTGTAAAAACCTTTAAGCAAATTTTGCACTAAAAATATTCTGAATGACAATTCGTGACTGTTGAAAAAAATGAAAGTCATACTACATTTTTACATACTTGGTAAGTTGAAGTTATAAATTTATATAATGAAGCTAATTATATATATATATATATATATATATATATATATATATATATATATATATATATATATATATATATATATATATATATATATATATATATATATATATATATATATATATATATATATGTATTATATATATATATATATATATATATATATATATATATATATATATATATATATATATATATATATATATATATATATATATATATATATATATATATTTCATAAGGTGCCCTAAGCAATAAACGCAAATATTACTTTTTTGAAATTGCTTTCCGTAATATTTAATGTTGTGGTTTCAAAAATGCTAGAACTAACTTCTGAAATTGCTTCCTTTTTGTAATTTAGTTGTTGTTTTTTTCTTCTGAAATTTAATCATTAAAACAATTGCTTTAATATATAAAAAAAGTTTTAGGCTGTTGATCCTCATTAATTTTCGTTTCTTCAAATATTACCGTAAAAGTCTGATAAAAAAAATAAAGAAATGCCTATATATTAATTAAAAATTTTTTTTTTTTACTAATCTACGCCCATAATAATTACTACGTTAAAAAATGCACCATATATATATACCATAACTAAATACATCAATTTTCATGAAAGTATGTTATTCGTTCTTATAATAAGCGGTTATTTGTCAAACCGAAAAAAGAACGGAAGAAAAAAAAAATGTTGTAAAGCTTAGCTAAGCGATTAAATAAATTGAGATGTAAAAGTGCTAAGCGACAATTATGATTTTGTTCTATTTTTTACCTTTTTAAAAAAATTATCACTAGAGTTTGTCAAAATTTGCTCTGCGATGTATAGAACTTAGAATCATGGAAACAAGTATTACTTTTTAAGTTTTAAAGATTTATTTGTAGTTTATATATAGTTTATTCGTATACATTAAACCTTAATTTAAAATTTTTTAATTTTTTTAAATTCAGCAACTAATGTTATATAACTTATTTTTCTTTGTAAATTCTATATTTGTTTTCATAAACCAACTTTTTTTTATCTAAATATTATATTTTATCTGGAAATGTTCAAACTATAATTTTTTTTTAATATTCAACACCATATTTCTTTAATTTGGGAGTGTTTTGATTTTAAATCTGAATATATTTTATTTATACACACACACTTACACACACACACACACACACACAAACACATACTTCTATACAACTTATTATATCTAAGTTATATATACATTCAATATAATAATTTAAAAATTAACATATGTTTTTGTATTTTTATGTGTTTTAATCAAAAAAATTACGTATAAACTTTTACTACACTTCAGCTTTTATTGTTTTTTGTCCCCCTCCCCCAGCTTCAGGCTTAAAGTAACATGTTTATGAGTCCTGTTAGCGTGTACATAGAGTTAGCTTTTGTTTTGTGAATGTTATACTTTAAGAAGAAAAACAATGATTATTTGTTTGGTAAGAGGTTAAAAATAGTTATAGTATATAATAATATTTAATGTTTAAATAATAGCAGTATTAATATGGATAAAATATGAATTTAAACAAAAAATAAATAAATATATTAACAAACAATTGACGTAATAAAATAAATACTAAAAAACTATTAAATAAATACTAAAAAACTATTAAAAAAATTAAAACTAAAAAATAATATTGTTTATATGATATCAAATAATATATAAAAGCAAAACTAATGGCTTTTTTCAGTCGATAAATATCGAAATAGTTTGATCGTAGGTGTGTAAGTAGCCATGTTTGGTCGTAGTTATAAGTAGTCAGTTTATAGTATAATTAGACCTTAAATTTAAAATTTTCAAATAATTTTTATACTAAAAAATCTTAAACACACAATAGTTTCTAATATTTTAAGTTGCTCCTCATAAAGTAAAACCTATTTGCAAAAAGTTGCTAAATTTTTCAAATTCATTCGGTAATTTTTAGAGCAAAAAAAAGCTAGTAAGAAAAAAAAAGGAAGTAGCTGCTAAAATTTGAACTTTTTCAACTTTTTTTTCCAGATATGGACCAACAACTAAAATTACAATTACGAAAATTTCAGAAAAACCTATCGATTATATCAAGAAGTAGGGTTTTTTCATTTGGGATACCTTAACATACAAATGTTATGCAATTTGTTGCAAGGGCGTATGAATTTTTCTCTGAATAATGTTACAAAAATCACATAAACATGAATTACAAGTTACGGTTGTTTATAAATTTTTGTTTAAATTTAAAAAGTGATAATTTGTATATTTCAAGCAAGTTATACGATGTTTATTCTTTGCGACGTTCTGGATACTTCTTGCAAACCGCGACAAATAATGAAAAGAGTGGAAGTAAGCTCACCAGCTTTTTATATAACTTACGAATGCTCAGGTCATTCAGCACCATCTCCTCCTACCAAACGCTGTTTGCATTCAAGGTTTAATAATTTGACGTTTAAATATAATCATTTTGGAGAGGAACGAGAAGTAATTTACGAAAATCATACTTCATGTGAAATGAAATGCGTTTGTGGTGATTGTGAAATCGAAGGTTTGCATACCGTTAAGTGCGATGAAAAATTTATGTAAGACCATTTATTTATCATATTAAGTATTTATTAAGATTACTAAGAGTTAAATTAAACTTTTTTTAAAAACTTTTTTTTATATCTTTTTAAATTAATTTAATAATCCAAAAAATTATTAAATATTTGAATTTAGTTTACTAAATCATCCTCGTCTAAATATTGCCTTCCAAACTAGGGTTGAGCTTTTACCGACCTTAGACTTACCGGTAAAATGGTAAAAAATTAACATTTCCGATAAAGTTGGTAAAAGCAATAAATGAAACACAATAAATTTAGTTTTGAGAGTAATTAATTTTAAATAAAAAAGGGGTTTCGAGAAACCCCTTTTTTATTTAAAAAAGGAGTTTCTCGAAACCTTTTATTTTAATTGTAAACTCTTTTGAACTTAATCATCATAGACGAGTGAAGAGAGTTCTGGAAAATCGAGTCAAGCCTTGATTCTTGCTTGACTGACGAAAATTAATAATTATTAACTTTCAATTTTTCGAAAAAATGTTCTCATCTCATCTAATTGAAAAGCATTTTACAATTACTACTAATTTCAAAATCTTTACTAACAATTTTGAAATAATAGCATCATTATGTAATAATGATGCTATTATTAAAAAATCAATAAATGCTCAACCAATATATACTGGTAAGTCGGTGAAACAGTTTAACCAACTTACCAATAAATTTTTGATAAAACTCAACTCTATAACAAAAAAAGTTTTGTTAAAAAGTTTTTATAAAATCTTTATAAGGTTTTTTTATAAAATTTTTTTAAAATTTTTATTTTTTATAAAATCTTTATAAGGATATAACTATTTAAAAGAATACGCATTAGCAACTGATACTTTATTATAGATGGGACAATTCATCCTGTGATTGCGTTCCTAGTTGCAAAGAAGATTGCAAAACAAATAGCGTGATCAGCAAGACTAATTCAGGTAAATAAACTCAATTTATTTAATTCATGTTGAAATTCATGTTATAATCTTAACTAAAGAACAAAAAAAATCGAAGCAGGGCTGTGGAGTCGGAATCACGACATTTTTAGTGGATTTGGATTCGGAATTGTTAAAAAAAATCTTGACTCCGACTCCGGTAGTAAAACCTTTTGGTATTGCCGGTGCATGTACAAAATATTTAACCTTCAAAGAATTTTTCATATATTTGGTAAAAAAAAAAATTTTTAATTGGAGTCAGAGTTTTTCTAAAAGGCTAAGTAATGCTTATGGAAAAGATTTGATGGGTGCCGACTGCTGAACTATTATGAACACCGCTTAGAATTTTTTAACTTTTACAGAAAAGTTAAATGTGTTAAGATTATATTTTCAACACTCCTGTTCCCTGATATTTATAACCTTTTAAAACATTTCGAAAGAAAGACATTTTATATTTTATGGTGGTCTAAAATGCTGCATATTTTTTTAAAGATGAGAGCTACACAGTTAAGTTTCATTAGTGTTACATTGTCTCTAATGGAAAGATTAAACAAAAATTTATATTAAAAAAAATATTTTCATGTTTGTGAAATAAATAACTAATATTATTTAATGAGCAATTTTTACTTAAAAATTAAATAGTTAATAACTCTCCTTTGTGTGTAATATATATTCTTTTTTTAAATACCAATTGCCATATAATTGTTTTCCTTGTTGAATTGTTGGTTTGTTTTATTTTCAATTTGTTTTTGAAATTTTTTTTTTTACTTTTACATGAACGGATTAGTATTAAACTATATTTATTTGATGAATTTAATAAAGACGTAAATAATAAAATATAATAAATAATATAGATGTGATATATTATGATGAGATGATTATTATAACCATCACAAACTTAACTACCAACATTTTTTTTATACTTATTTTTAAAATAATAATTGTTATTTTTATCTATAAAGTGATTTTCAATTTAACTGCGCAAATGTTGTTGAAGCCAACACTCCACCATTTTATGGAAAAAATAGTACTAATTATTTTAAAAATGAATATAAAAAAAATATTGGTCGTGACCAACTTTTTAATACCTTATATTTGTATAAATTTGACTTTTTCAAGACTTTTATTATAATTATTCGATTCGTGTTCTGCAATATTGAAGATTAAATTTCATGTTCTGCAATAGTGAAGATTAAATTTCAGGAGAGAAAAGTTTTTTTACTCAAAACTGCAAATGTTCTGATTTTAAGAAAAATTACTTTAAAAAGTAAGAACTACAAAAATTAATTTTTCAATCGCAACTTAAAAATTTTATACAATTACTTTACAAACTTTATAAAGTTATTAAATGTTCAATTATGAAATATGTGTGTGTGTGTATATATATATATATATATATATATATATATATATATATATATATATATATATATATATATATATATATACATATATATATATATATATATATAAATTTTTTGTTTTTACTTTTATTTGATCTTCTTTGATTAGTTTTAAAAGGCAATTTATTTAAGTAAATTTTTTTGTCTCTTTTGTTTACGTAAGTTTTTGTAAATTCCATAAGTATACTTTTGAAACTTACTTAAGTAAACTTTTGAAACTTACTAAAGTAAACTTTTAAAACTTACTTAAGTAAACTTTTGAAACTTACTTAAGTAAACTTTTAAATCTTACTTAAGTATACTTTTAAATCTTACTTAGGCAAGTTTATGAAACTTACTTTAGTAAACTTTTAAAACTTACTTAAGTAACTTTTTGAAATTTAAAATGGTTCTAAACCTAAAACTAAGATGTTGCATCTTTCTGATTAAATTTTATTATTTTTTTATAAATCAACGCATACAGAAAAAGGAGTTTCTATTGCAACACTTGTTTTAGTCATGGTAGCAGAGCTTGTCATCGTCTTAATAGCGGTATTACTCAAGTTTGATACATGCAAATGCAGAAAGCATTCAACAGGTGTCCTATACGGAGCTGCTAAATATATAAAAAGTGCTACAGGAGAAAAAGGTAAAAGTAGAACAGAAATAAACAGAACGGGATCAGTAAGCTTACTTACTTGCGATTCCATTTCTACACAACGAAACACGTAACTGCGTCGATCGTGAGTATAACTCCTAATAAAAACCAACAAATCTGTATTTAACAATAGCTGTTGCAAAACAACCACAAAACCTTTATGAATTTTTGTATAAAACCATTCAATGGTTTTAGTTTTTACTTTTATAGGTTTAAACAATAATATATATACGCGCATATTTATTAATGTAACATAGTAACAATTTTAAATTTAATAAACAAAATTAGGTATATTTTAAATTATCTTTACTTTTATGCAATTATTTAAGCACCACAATTACTTCATCTTTAAGAAAATATTTTGTTTTTAAACTTAACTATACTTGAATCGCCAGTGCTAGATTTAGACTTGATGAAGTTCTAAGCTGTTTGAGATCTTTGAGATATGAGAAGTTCGATATTCGATTTTTCGATTCGATAGTTCGATTGAGATATGAGAAGTTTGATATTACTCCTGAGTCTCTAATACAAAGGGGTGGGAGTGGGGGTAGATGTTTATTAATATTTGGAAAAATTTTCACCCAACTTAAGTTTATTAAGGATACCCCTCCTTTCCTCCCTGTAAATTCCCTTTGAAGTTATGATTATGAAAACGCGCATTTTCTAACAGCTGTTAAAAAATGCGCGTTTGACCGCAAGCCACGCTAGAATTAAATAGTTTTACGTTTGTTTTGTAAAAAATATTAGTTTGGATTTATAAATTGAAATTTTTTATTATGAAAAAAAATCTAGTCTTTGACAAAGTTATCAAAAAAATTACATTCATACTGACCATCTATGTGTACATTAAGTAAGGAAATTATATATTTCTTCAACAAAATTTCAATAGATTTTTATTCATCTAAACAACAGTAAACTGATGCTCTACAAAATGATTACAATACAAAATGACTGATCTAGACTAGAATCTTAAAATAAATAGGAGTACCTTGCAGTTTATGTGCCATAACTAAGAGAAATTCATCACATATTGCTTTAGAAAGATGACATGTAACACCTCGTCTCTTATCTTATTTACTTGTAAGATATGTCTTAGAAGCTTTTCTATGGTTTACTAATTTTTCATGACTTTGAACTATATAAGTGTTGCTCTAATTACAAAATCCCATCAGATGATAATGTTGTAGAAGAATTTAAAATAGTTTAGACACAAAGCAGCATACACAACCAGTTGCTTCAACAACATTTATATATACCAACCTATAATATAATAAGAATATACTATCCTATCTCTCCAATATTTTATCATTAGCCTGTTCAAGAATAACAGGTTTTTTACGCAATGTCTGTCTCAACAGCAAACATTGTTGTAGTGGATTTGCTGTGGATCTATATGGACAAAGGGTTCATTAGAGTTTTTCTAATTAATTACTGTGTGAACCATTAGTGGCATCTGCTATAAGTGATCAGTTCATAACTTTCTAACATGTTGTATAGCGGCTAGTCATTGGCTAACCACTTTTGGCGGCTATTACAAATGGTTCATTAAGAAACCGATAAGCAAAACTACTGTAGACCTCTATAAGAGTTCACTTAAAATCTGCTATAGAATGTTTGCTGGGTTGCTTTGTAAAATATTTTTTAAATATTAAAATGAGTCATTTGAGTGCTAACATTTTGATTAATTATTTTAAAATCCAGTTTTAAGTTTCATCTCCACAGAACAATATTATCCGCAGATCAATATCATCCACAGATCAATGTCAAAATGTTTGATTTTTTGGTGCTTGTCCCTTTTTACATAAATATTTTTTTTTAATTTATTGAAATAGACTAAAAACAACTAGATGCATAAGGTTCTGCATCCGAAATAAAATGAATATCCTGTGACTGACTTCATGTGGTTTTTTATATTCTTCTATATATTTGACTTTAAATGTTTTCTCAATATCTTTTTTTATACATCTTTTTGAAAAAACTTGTTATTTTAATTCTTCTGACCTCTTTTGAAACATTTTTTAATTTTATTAACATGTTAAGTTCTTCTATTTCTTTCAATTTTTTTAGCTTTTCTCTCCTATTTTTTTCACTTTTGATCTCCAACTTTAAAACTTCTGAGTAAAAAAATATTTTACAGAAAATGGTCATAACACTTTCAATTTTTGTTTTGTTTTTGTTTAAATGTAAAGTTTAAATTAATTGTAAAATTGAAAGAGTATTTGGCACAAAAAGAATTCGGCTTCTACAATTAAAGAATTACGGAGCAGTTAGAAGATTTTTTTTAGTCATTAGATTTTTTAAGAAGTGTGTCAGTAAGATGAATAAGCAAATTTTACATTCCTTTTGAAAATTATGAACTGATGGATTTAAAAAGAGTTTCTTAAAGATTATTCGAACCAAGAATTAGTTTTGTTTCACTTTAAAATGCTAAGGTGTAATACATTTTAATTTAAAATAAAGTTTATTTCGTGATAAAAATACAAGAGCATATAATCATAACTCTCAAATAACGGGTTATAACTAAAAAACAGTAATGAATTTGAAGACAAAGTTATGTAACATACTTTTTATTAATTATGGTTGCAATTTTACATAGTTTGTAGCATTTTCAATTCTCTACAAAACTTGTTTTATTTTAAATTATAATAATTTATTCTTACAGAGAAAAATGAAAGAAAAACAAGAAGCCCGTTGCGAACGTTTGCACAGCTTCTATTTGAAAAATCTATCTAAAGGAAAAAAGTTTACAGTTGATCACTTTTATGCTGAAAAAACTCCTATTAACACCATTTATACCATTATTTGACGCGTTGAAATTTTGGGCACTATATTAGCAATCCTACCAATTCCAGGGACTCTCTGATAGTCCCAGGAGAGTCCCTGGAATCGGTATGATTGCTAATACAATGACAAAAAGGAACATTGAAAGACTTTAAACAATGTTTGACCACAAAGACGGCAAACACGAAGCTGTTTGCCGTCTTTGTGGTCAAACATTGTTTAAACAAGCAGCTCGAAAATTTAAATGCACCCAAGTATATATCAGCAAAACATTAAAAACAAAGTCCTTTATCAGGCTAAAGAAGAAGAAGAAGATTGCATTAAGAAGTGACCAAATAGAGGTAGTTTGAACGAAGTGCGGTCGGCTGTATCTAATTTCTTCCAATAAATTGTTCATCCTTGACGACGAGTCGTACTTGACATTTAACCATTCTTCGATTAATGGAAATATTTATTATTCAAGTGATGTTTCTCAAAACACCAACAAGTGTCAAGTTCAACCCCACTGCAATATATGAAAAGAAATTACTTATTCGGGTTTGCTTTTCCGATTAAGGAATATCATTGCTATTATGCAGAGAAAGTGGCTTTGCAATCAACCAGGAAGTCTACAAAAATGATTGTATCAAAAGCAAACTAATTATGTTTATCAAAAAGTATCATTCTGATAGCGAATACATATTTTTGTCTAATCTGGCATTGTCTCATTACGCAAAATGTGTACAAAACTACATGAACGAGAAAAAGATCATTTTTGTCTAAAGAGAAGATAACTCTGCAAATGTGTCTGAATGTCGTCCGATTAAAGATTTTTCGAGTATTCTCAAAGAAAAAGTGTATGACAATCAGGGCTGTGGAATCGGAGTTGGAGTCGGAAATGCGAAGTTGCGATATTTTTAGCGGAGTCGGAGTCGCTAAACGAAATCGCGACTCCGACTCCAATAGAAAAATTTCTCAGTATTACACGTGCATTTACAAAACATTAAATTAACCTTATTTTCATACTAAATCTCAAAGAACGTTTCATAAATTTGTCAAAAAGAAATTTTTAACTTACCGCGTAGTTTTTTTTTAAAGAATTTAAAGAAATTTTCAAAACTTGTGAGTCAGAGTCGAAGTCGGAGTTATGCTCAAAAAATTTCAACAAATGGAGTTGGAGTCGGAGTTGTACACAAAAAATTTCAACAACTGGAGTCGGAGTCGGAATTGTTACTTTTTTTTTACGACCCCACACCCCTGATGATAATAATTGGAAAGCTGATAATTTGAGAAATTGCGCAACAAAATAAAGTAAAGCCTTTCTAAAATGGAAAAATGTTTTGTACAGTGCCTTTCTAAGTCAACTTGGCTATGTCAATTAGACTATGTAAGACGTAACGGTTTGATTGAAAAAAAATTAAATTAATGCAAAAATTAATGCAAATAAGTTGCCCACCTAAAATATTATTTTTTTTCGTTTTTAAATTAAGTTTTTATCTTATGACACATAAGAGCTATTTCCCTACAAAGTTATAACCGTTTTTTAGTTATAACTTGTTATAACTAAGCTTCTAAAATTTAATTTGGAAAACTTTTAAAACAATCAAATTTTTAGAAAAATACATTTATGAAGCTCAGAAACACGAGGCAATCACAATAAAAAAATTTTGTGAGCCATTCTTAATTAATTGGTTAGTGTAATATGAGCCATGTGTGTCTACATTATTTATATCACTTAAGAAATATTGCTTTCTTGGTTACATATAACCTACATCAAGCTCCTTAAGTAGAATAAAATTACATAGCCAACATCTTGCCATTTAAAATAAATTTAGTGGCTTGCATTTATGCAACATATGACCAATATTTAATTTTCTTGCTATTAAAGCTACCATTATAGCAGATATTTAGATTGTAACTACATACTGATTTAAAAACTTTTATCTAATATTATATTTACAGGTAATATTCCAATTCCAAAGACAGAAAAAAAGCAAAGAGATGACTTTCTTTATCAATTCAATTTATTTTTACGGATTTTTACTAAAGATTTTTATGAAATCTTTTTAAATACTTGAATAAAATGTTAAAAGTTAAAAGTTGTTACTATTATCTCTTTTAACTTTGAAAAAACTGTTTAAGTTAAACTGTATATAATTTAAGTTTTTCAATAAAAAATTTTTTTATTGAAAAACAAATTATATACAGTTAGCTACAATTGTTGTTCATGAAATGAAGCTACAATTACTTGTTGTTCATGAAATGAAGCTACAATTGTTGTTCATGAAATTAGCTGCAATTATTGTCCACGATAAATTAATTCTAACTTTTTCTGATAATTTTATGCAACTTTTTTCTTGGAAAACATTTCTGTTGTAACTACTATGGATCTAAACCACTTCTTTTGTCGTCGTTGTTGCATAGTACCATTACAAGGAGTTTTTAATACGTATTAAATTTAGATAAGTTAATATAATCTCTAAAGAATAATTGTTTTTCAATCGTTTGTGTCCGTGGGGAAATAGCGTACGATCTTAGTGAGGAAGCTTTGAACGTCTAAAGTGTCAACACATGGACATCAGGCGGCCAGAACATTATTGTTTCTAAATTTTTTCACATTCAATTTTAACACATAAATTGTTCAAGTATTATCTCTGTGCAGGGCCACCGAGAGAAGAGGAACCAATATAATAGGGGCGCCAAAAAAACGATAAGTTTTTTTTAGTATCTATACAATGTTTAACTCTTTCTAAGGCTTGTTGCCAGACAACAACAAAGTAGGGAAAAGGTGCCTACGATGGCATACTTAACATTGAAGCTTCATTATTCACTTTCCTGAAGACCAATAATAAAAATTTTTATATGTATACATTCGTTGTTCCATGTGAAACAATAATAAAACTCGGAGTTTTCATCAGTTTTGCTTTTTTTACAAGCTTTTATAATTTTTTTGCTATTTAAAAAAAGCACAAGTATGCCATCATAGGCAACCGCTTCTCCTATGATGGTATAGGGAAAGATGGGGCTAGTTAGGATCAAAGGTAACTTGACGAATTCAATAAACCTTAGAGTTTCAGAAATGCTGGAAATTACGCGGAATTGTCCTAATTTACCATTTCATGATACACAGCAGCATTTTAAAGTTTCGCGCGTGTGCATAAGAGATATTGCGTTTTATGTATTTTTTGGACCAAAATAAAACTTTTGAAGCATTGCTTTCTTTTTAATTTACTTAAAAATATTTTTTTCTTATATAAAATAAAGGTTTTCTCAACTCGTTAATTATTGCAAGACCCCCAACTCGTCAGTATGCCATCATGCGAAAGAGTTATCATTATCATTAAATCAAGCTGTGTCTGCCTTGTTCAAAAGATGGAATTAAAATAAGTATTCCACTAAATGCACAAAACTTGAATATAAAATGGACGAGAATTTAATTTCTGCACAGTTAATAATAAAATCACAATCTCATATATATTTAGGGGTTACAACTACAACAACAAATATTAAATTGATATTTTTTGATTATTAAAGCAATATTTGTGCTGCACAATTTTATTATCATGTTTTTTACTTGCGAATCACAAGTAAAAAACATCAAAAGTTTGTGATTTTTACATGATGTTTTATTATTATAATTTTTTTAAATAAATTACAAATTCAATTAACTAACAATGGCGGTTTTTATGTTAATAGATTATTATGTTTAAAGAAGAGAGTCTTCTGTCAGAGAGAATTGTTACAGTATTTCAATTTTGTAAAGTTTTTTCGGTTATTCACGAAAAACTCTTTTTACTATATTATCTTAATTTCTAGGCTGTTGACTTTCTTCTAAATACAGTTTTAAAGTTTTGAAATTGTATTCAGAAGAAACTTTGAAATTATTTCAAAACTATGAAGCAATATGTATCTATGCATAATAACTTATGCATAGATACAGGCATATAAAATAAATTATATTTTTCACAATAAAGCTTTGCTGTTTTAGAGCAATGTTCACTGAATTTTATTGTATCTATCTCATAGCTTGATTTTATTATGTTCAAAATGTTTGCTAAACGTTCTATGAATTCAAAATCTATGCCTGTAATAGAAGAAAATAAATCAAAATGTTTAAATGCTCATCTGGTAGTGTTACCATTTGAATTTTTAATATCACTTTGACTAAATCTACTCTTATGCCTAATTCTTCAATGAATTTAATTTGTAATATTTTTATTTTCACAAACTTCTTTGTCGTCATTATCACAAATTTGCCATTTTTTTATTTCAAGACTGTAAGAAATATATAATAAAAGTTCAAAACACCTCATCTAAGCATGCAACAGAGAAAGAGCTAATTCAGTTTTATTTATATTAGAAGTTGGAATATTGAGCCACGTGCAATAGAATTCATTTGTTTCGGAGAAGCTCAACACATATTGAAAACCTGTTGTAAAGAAATTGAACATACTGCATTGGCAGCCTTACCATCAATCATTGTTAATCTTTAATTAAGTTTAGCTTTTGTTACAATTACTTCAAAACCAAATCAAACTCTGAATTCTCTAGTAAATTTATTTGATTTTAAATATATTCTTTTTCAAATTTCAAAACAGCTTCTGATTCCTTAGATATTGAACTTGTATTGGTCGACAATATCTAATTGACGGTTGTATAAGATTTGTCCAAATGGAAATCTAGAAGATCTAAATGAACAAAGTGGTACTAAATAAATTAGAGTATTTCAAACTATTATTGGTAAATTTTGCTTATATAAACTTTGATCAGATGCGCCATCGATCCCCCATTTACAACTTAATATTCCTTTTGTTTTATTGGCAATCTCTTGTTGCATAATTAAAATTATGATTTGAAAAAAACGAACTGTGTGATCAAGAAAACTTTGATGTTTAATATCTGCATTTTGCTCACTAAAAAAATGCTTTACTTTAGAAATGTAATCAAAAAGTAAATTTCGAAGTAGTTTCTTTCTATCAATCAAATTCTGTCTTTGATAACTAAATAAAGTTAATGTTTAGTAAACTTTACATTTATTTTATACAGAAGTGAAAGAAAAATGATATTCAATTTTGCATGCATATATATATATATATATATATATGTTTATGTACTATATAATATAACTATGTACTTGTATAATATATAATAGAAATTAAAAAGTTTTTCAGACGTGTCAGGAAAAACTTTAAAAAATCCACACCTTTTATGAACATTTTACAATGTTTTACAATTTTAATCAATAAAATTTAATTAAAAATTAATAACAACAAGAGTAAGTAGAAGACAGAAGTCTTGCCATCAAGCCGCTATAGTTAGCATAAAGTATTTTTTACAAATTTCTCATCATATAAATTTACAAATACTCGTTATATAAAACAAGTTAATACATAATTACAACAAGAATACAATAAATTGCAAAAATTAAATAAATAGATAAAGTAAGAACTATTACAAGATTTTTTTTTAACTTAAAAATACAAAAATATATTTCTGTCTGTTATTTCAAGTAAATAATGTTTAACTATATTTTTGAAACAACTTATTGAAGTTATACTTTTCATATTTTTATCAAGAACTATGTTCCACAGGCTAGGTCTTCTATATGAAATTGAGTAATCAGATGTTTTAAGAGTTGACTTAGGTAAATTAAAGTTATGGAAAGAGCACCTTGCTAAGTATTTATGATTAATTTTTACAAATCGGTTATTAAAGGATTTTTGAAGCATGTTATTATGATATTTAACCAAGAATAACAAGTTTTTAAGAATAACAGGTTAAATGCATAGACATTAAGAGCTTTAGTTTACCGGAGTAACGGCTTAGAGTGGGCGTATTTATGCACATTACATATAGTTCTACTGGCTTATTTTTGTTATATATATATATATATATATATATATATATAATATATATATATATATATATATATATATATATATATATATTTCAAAAATTGAAGTTAATTTATGTCATATTGGCTTTTACGTTGCTAATTTTTTTATAAAATGAGCTTTTAATAACCACATTTCAAAATGGGGAATGTGGGGACGGCTATCTTTTCTGGTTTCTTATAGAATGATATTAACTCTTTAAAAATGAATTGGCTTCGCGAAGGAAATTGAAGATAAAATGCTTTAGCTCCATAAAAATTAGTTTAAAATCGTTAAAATTGCTTTTTTTAAATGCATTTCATACAACTTGTATAAATACATATTCAAATATTTTTATAAATTAAAATAGAATTATTTAATGATAAAATTTTTATGATAAAAAAAGCTGTTTTCAGTCACTTTCAAGCATATATTAACGATTAAATCTTTTATATCGGTCTAATTTTTTTATACCGTTAAAATCTTAAGAAACTGTAGAAAATAGTTAGCTTATAACATTATTTAAATTACGCTTCTCAAAAAACTGTATTTTGGCAGAATTTTAAGTGTTTCTGAATCACTGTGATTCGGCATGAGTCCAGTAAGTATTACTACAGTGTGTTACTACATTTAACTTTAGTTTTAAAAGAAAGTGTTACTACATTTAACTTTAGTTTTAAAAGAACTGCTGCTATATTTATATGCTTTCCTTAACAAATATGTTTCACCATCTTTTTAAAAATGAAATCAAGATAATTCATTAAACAATGTTTTTTATTTATGATTAGGGGTCGTCCATAAAATACGTCACGCTATAAGGGGGAGGGGGTCGGTAGTTTTGTGACGACATACAAAACTTCTTACGATTTTGTGACGAGGGGGAGGGGGGGGAGGTTAAAATCTGTCAAAAAATGCGTGACGTAATTTATGGACGATCCCTTAATAATAGAAAATTAGAAGCTTTAACAGAAAGTTAATTATTGATAACTTTTAACAGGACTATAACTTTTAAAACAAGTTTTTAATAACTAACTGATTAATACTACATATATATATATATATATATATATATATATATATATATATATATATATATATATATATATATATATATATATATATATATATATATATATATAACACCATTATCTTACATAACATTTTTATATGATAAAATTCGATACAAAAAAATATGTTTGTAGTAGCTGAATGATGTTCGTAGTAGCTGAAGGTTTTCCAGTAAAAAACGTAAAAGTAAAACATGCTGCAGATTTAGGTAAAAGCAACTTTCCTCCGTCGAAAAGTCTAATGATCAAAAAATATATTTAGTAAAATATTATTAATAATAAAAATATAACTAGTGTTGTTATTGACTTCGACTAAATCGACTTAAATTTGACTAGTCGAATCTAGTCGATATTAAAAAATATAGTCGGCTATAAAATTATTTATAAAATATATAATTTAATACCCGTAAGAACAGAGAGTGTGAAAACACACAAAACTGTCAAACCATAAAAATCCTCACAATTTACTCATAATCCTTACAATTCACTATTAAGTAAAATCATACATTCTCAAAAGATTTGCTATTCATTCTTTCAGCTTCACTTTTTATTAAAGCTTCTTTAGATAATTCACGAGACCTAAAAAACGATAAAATAAAAACAAAATAAATAGGAAAAAATATGAAAAAAATAAAAAAAACATGAAAAAATTAATGAAGTAATTAAAAAACGGTGGAGTAAAAAGTAAACATGAGCAAATCTTGGTTCTTTTCTTCAGAAATTTGAGCTTTCTTTACTTCGCTCTCACGAGAATTTATCTAAACATTAAATATATAAAAAAAAACATATTAAAACATATTTTTATTAATTTTACAGTTTATATCTAGTTTCAATAAATAATACACGTTTTATATAGTTTCAGGTCACCTAACAATGCATCAGAATCCTCAAAAGGCCAAAAATTTATTAAAAAGTAATTTCTCAGCTTGAAAATGTTAAAATTTATTTTTCAAAACATTAGTATTATTGTTTTAATCAAAACGTATTTTAAAAATTTTCACTTTTTTTTTCCAGCAGCAACTTTTTAAATTTGAAGCAAACTTTGCGATTTCAACGTGTTTTTAGCATTAAATTTTTAGACCAACCAAAGCCATAAAATAAAGTAAAAAATAATTGGTCATGTTGTGTTTTTAAACGATGGAACTTTTAAAAAAAACAACCCTAAAATAGCTTTTAAAACTAAAAAAAAAATTTTAAATAGAATTTCAAAAATTAAATAAAAAAAAAACTCTACAAAAAAAGTATAAAAACTCCACTTATTGTAGGAATAATTCTTTTATTTTATGAAAATTTTAGCTGCATATACTTGCACCTTCTTGAATTATGTTTAAAAAGGTACCATGGATCCTATAGTAATTTAGGATGGACTTTAATTTTAATCAAGCACGTACGTTCTTAATAAGAACCTACGTGCTTGATTAAATCTTCCTATCATTAGCTATTTGCTCATGATAGGAAGAAGACTAATGGGACAGTAGTTAGACGAGCCAGATCACTCTCCAAAATTTTTGAAAATAAGGAAAACAGATACTGCTTTCCAGCAGGATGGAAAACAAGACTCTGATAAGAACTTGTTAAATAGTTTTGGAAGTATAGACCATAGCTATTTTGAAAGTATAGACAGAAGCTGGAGTGATACAAATGTCAATTTGTATCACTCCAGTAATAGAACAACCTGTTTGTGCGCTATATCAGGTAAGATTTGATTAGTGGAATCAAGAGATGAGATTAATGAAAAGTTCGTGACCTGAGAATCATAGGGTTTAGCGTTAGACGAATCTTTTTTATATGGTTTATAGCAATAGTAAACAGGTGTCTGTTTACTGAAGAATTATTTAAGTGATATATGTGGAAGTAATGGTTATTATTGGAAATTGCTGCAGCACAATGAGACGAAAACTTGGAAACATCAAGAGAGAATAAAAGATTCCATGACAGCCTGTATACAAGTTAAATAAGAAGCACATTTGTCAGCAGGAAGAAATTTGTCAAAAGATTTCTATCACAAAGTAAATCAAGATAGAGTCCCGTCAGTTTTAAGATTGTTGTAAGAGGTCATACCTCTTACAACTATCTTAAAGATAGGGGGTTTTTAATGATGAAGAATGATCACCTAAGGGTTAATGTTGAAAAACAGAGCACTGACTATCAGAAAAAGACACAAGTCGAGTTGATTCGAAGTGTCTGGAAAGCGAGTTGAAAAGTTTACTACTTGTGTTAGAGATTAAGAAGGACAAAAGTTGTGGACTTTAACACCTGCAGAGTCACTGACATCAGAACCAAGCTATTCAGTGTGATGAGCATTAAAGTCAACAAAAACAATTGTTTGGCTGAAGGATAAAGAGAAAGGACTTGGTCAATTTAATCAGAAATAACATCAAATAGAGTGCAGTCGTGAGATAAAGGAGAGTGATATAGAACAAAGAAAAAGGCAATAGAGTGAAGTGGTGCTAAATAAAAGGACATAAAAGAATAGCCTGTAGATTCAAACCTAGATCCCCAACAAATGGATGTTAGAACACTTACGAATGTAAATACCCAGGAATCAGCCTCTCTGAGAGCTACCACATAAGTCAATAAACCTGACTATAAGTAGGCCTCAGAATGATGAAACTGAGTTTTAGAGCTGTATTAGGAGATAATGAGTTGCCTAGTCATAAAAACGGAGACACAACAAACAAGAAGATCCAGCATTCAACATCCTAAACTGGAAACAATTTATTATAAATTTATCTCCATCAGCCTAATAGATGAAGAAGGGGTGCAAAGCTTGTCAATAGATAGAATCAGTTTACCCCTTAAGTCTTTGCCTAGGGGACTTTTTATAAGACAGTATCCGGATGCATTCAATGTCTGCTCAGATGAGATGATATTTTTATCAAGACACCATCTCTAGCCTTTAATCAACCAAGAGCCCTAAGGCAGGGGGTGTGTTAAGTCAGAGTTGGCTTCCCTTAGCCTTCACCTGAAATAGTCCAATAAGGTAGCAGGACATGAAGCAGGTTGTACTGGGTTACATGTTACTAGCAGCATGATAACCTGACCTAACATAAATCTTTTATTATTTAGGAATTAAAACTAATAAAATATTAATCCCAAAAACATTAGAAAACAATGCATTTGTAATAAAAAATGTAAAAATCATAATAATTTATCAAAACAACAACAACTAAATGTATGTATCTAAATACACACACACAGATATATATACATATACATACACACAGATATATATATATATATATATATATATATATATATATATATATATATATATATATATATATATATCACAATTAGATGACATTACTTGAGAAGAAAGGTTAGCAAAGAATTAAAAAGAACAAAAAGAAATGAATAAATCAAAAAGAAGACAAAAACAAAAAAAAACTTTAATTGTAATAAACTTCTACTCAGAATTACTTAAACTACAACAGTCATCATTTCCATACTCGCTATAAAATAATTGTTATCTATCTCGCTAAAAAATAATTGTTTTTACTTCTAATTATAATAAAGAAAAACAATATTTAGCAGAAGAAAAAAAACATGGTTAAAAGAATATTCTAATAATGTTATTGAAATAGAATTTCACAATTCAAAACTCTAAGAACCAGCTTACCAAAGTTTATCTGAATTTGAATCCAGTCAGTAAATGTTTTTAAACAACCATTCTACTAAGAATGCTTCTGCAAAATACAGAATTAACCAATAAAAAAATTAGGATTATGTAAATGTAAAGATAATCGTTGCAAAATATGTAAACTCTACCTTCTAGAGGTTAAAACATTTACAACATCAAATGGTACAATAGGGAGAAAAAAAAACATGTTTAGCAGAACTATAAACATGGCTAAAAGAATATTGATATTCTAAAAATGTTATTGAAATAGCATTTAACAATTTGAAACTCCATGAACAATGTGAATTTTTTTTATTTAATTATAAATTTTTCCATTTAATTACAGTAATTTAAATTGCCAATCTTTTATTACTAAAACTTTTGCTTAATCCATCTTAAAATGAAGGAGCAAAAGAAGATATTTCTAATATCTTTCTTTGCTCTTTCATTTCGAAAAAAAAAATGAAGACTTTACAAAAATGGATATATTTTTAGTTGTAGAGCTGGACAATCAAGAGATTGATTTGATAACCATGTAAATAATTGAACCCGTCATTTCGAAATAGACACATATACAATACTTGTAAAAGTTAATTCAAAAACTGAAATTAAAAATTCTGTATGATTCATGTTTTTTTTTATAATAATAAAATTTTTTAATAATCTACACCTATGTCAACTTTCTTTAACAACCTGACATTTTTTAATGAAAAAACAACAACATTTTTTTATTGATTTTAAAAAGTTTTAATAAAAGAACTTGTACCCTATTTGAAATGTCAGGTTCAATTGTCAATGCGCGCATACAATAATTAAAATACTTCTACCCTTACTACTAAATAATTCTACCTTTTTATGTTTTTAGAGCTTAAAAATGAAAATAGATACTTAATAATATATAAATAATATATAAAAAATCTAAACATAATTACAAATTTTAAAAATATTAAATTATATACTTGATCTAAAATTTCTTGTTTCCGTTCATTCTTCCTAATGCATTCAATAGCTTGCTCATTTTCCAGAAGACTTTTATGTTCTTCAATTAGCATCAACAACTTCTCTCTTTCAGCAATAGAACTTTTTTGTTCTATATGAATCTGTGCAATTTTCTCCTCTATCTGCTTTTGGCGTTCTTCTAAAACCTGTTTTGATTATTTTTGATTAAAATATGCAAACAAGGATGCAGGATATTTTTAATTTATTTAATTACCATTCTATTAACTAATCTAATGTAAAGAGTAAAGTTACTAATATAGTGAAATTTAAAACCGTTTTAATGAGTCTTTCTCTAGCTTGTGCTTCCCGTTCCCACTCACTTTCTCTTTTTCTCCACTGAATGTTTGCATTTTCCCTGACATAAATATATATATACATATATATATATATATATATATATATATATATATATATATATATATATATATATATATATATATATATATATATATATATATATATATATATATATATATATATATATATAATAAATTGATATGTATTAACTAAAAACGTTGTGAAATTTTTATATATTCTTACAATAGGTTATAAAGAAACCTAAATTCAAAATATTTAAAACAAATGATTAAGTGAATTTATTACTTATACTCTGTTGAGAGATTCCTTTAAATAAAAATCATAAACATAACCCATATTACAATTGCATGAAAAAATATAACTATTATTTTGATTTATGAGTTTGATGACATACATTGTATGACAAAATATTATAAGTATGTACTATAACTATATTGTATGACAAAATATCATTATTAGTATATTGCGTGACTATATTGTATTGTATCGCATGTTCTACCTATTTGTTAGTCGATGTAGCAGCACTCCTTGCATGCTCTACCTATTTATCAGTCAGTTTATGTAAATATAAATATAAATATATATATGTATATATATATATATATATATATATATATATATATATATATATATATATATATATATATATATATATATATATATATATATATATATATATATATAAGATAAAGATGGTCCAGGTCTGGGAGACTAAAAATTAGAAAGCTCCAACTAATGCAGTAATACTAACACAATACTACGGCACAAATGATCTTTTAAATTAAAATATTCATATATTATTTCTGGTAATACTTTGTTTACAGCTCCATTTATAATATATTATATAGTTTAAATACATTTAAAAATTACTAAATTATTTTCTTTTTTGTTGCTAAAAAATCTAAATTTTTTTTTAATTATGTACAACACTAAACAGCACCTTTGACAACTACATTGATAATTATTTATTAATTTTCGCAGAAATTAAAGACACATTTTAAAGCTTTTTTTAGGGGGGGCTACTCGCAATATATAATTTTTTGACAAATATTACACACAATGTAAAACTAAATTCCTGCACAATATACAAATGCTTAAAGAAACTTTTAATAGATTGCTTATTTCTTTGCGCATTTGAAGTCTGATATTAAATTGGACAATAGAAAATTTTGCAGGAATGTCTCAATTTTGTATATATACCTGAGAAAAGCATATTTTCAATTTTTTTTTTTGAAAAAACACTTTAAATTTAAAAAACTTTTAAAAAGTGGGTTATTATGCATAAGTTCCCTCTTTAAGCAAATATTTTTCATGGACTTTAAAATATCTTCAAAAAGATCTATAACACAGGCTAGAAAGTTGAAAAGACACGTGGAATATTATCAAAACCTCAAAAATCAGACAGACAAATAAGCAAAAAGCTTGAAGAGGTTCTTGAATACACTGATCATAACACTGATTAGCCAGAAAAAACTGTTTGTCAGTTAATGTAAATAGTTTAAAGCAACATATAAACAACTTTATTTTTGTTGATATTAAAAAACTCCATATTGGGATTAAAAAAAACCTGACAATCTTTAATTGGATATTTTTTGAAAATTTTGTGATTTAAGACCCAAGTAGTGCATACCTGTAGAAAATTTATCTGGTCTGAATGCAGTTAGTGATTGTTGGTACCATGAAAATGTAAAATTTTTGTATGAAAAATTCCAGGAATACAAAAAATTATTAAATTAATAAAATTAAACTAAAATTTTCTAATGGATGCAGCAAGCAAATTTTGTTGAACCAACTTTAGCTGACAAACTTGAGCCTCTGATTTATTGTTGTAAAGTTACATCTCTCTTTTTTTTTTTTACTACCATGGTAACTGACAAATCCCTATCACTTTTACCATCACCTAAAATGCAATCTTGGTCATTTAACAAAGTTGCATTCTTAAAATGTAACCTTTATTTCTCATACTCAAAAACTTTTATTTATTTAATTTTTTTCTTTGGTGTTTTGAAACTCTCTCTTTATGCTTACCTGACTCATAAAATTTACAGTTTTATAAATCTTCTTCTAATTTTGATTGCTTTTTTGCTCATTAATTTTCTTTGTTTTCTCCCAACTAAAATAATGGTTGCTTTTAAATTACATTATTGCTTGTAAATTACATTATCAAACAGCTACAAGCTTTGTTAGGAGTAAATTTGTTTAAAAAAAAAAAGTAGACAGAGCAAAACAATTTTGGAAAAAAAAGAATACAAATCTTTTTTTTCAAACACTCTTTTTTTGTGTTTCAAACTTAGTATTAATCACATCAAACAAAAAACACTCTTAGTATTAATCACATCAAATAAAAAACACTCTTAGTATTAATCACATCAAATAAAAAACACTCTTAGTATTAATCACATCAAATAAAAAACACTCTTAGTATTAATCACATCAAATAAAAAACACTCTTAGTATTAATCACATCAAATAAAAAACACTCTTAGTATTAATCACATCAAATAAAAAACACTCTTAGTATTAATCACATCAAATAAAAAACACTCTTAGTATTAATCACATCAAATAAAAAACACTCTTAGTATTAATCACATCAAATAAAAAACACTCTTAGTATTAATCACATCAAATAAAAAACACTCTTAGTATTAATCACATCAAATAAAAAACACTCTTAGTATTAATCACATCAAATAAAAAACACTCTTAGTATTAATCACATCAAATAAAAAACACTCTTAGTATTAATCACATCAAATAAAAAACACTCTTAGTATTAATCACATCAAATAAAAAACACTCTTAGTATTAATCACATCAAATAAAAAACACTCTTAGTATTAATCACATCAAATAAAAAACACTCTTAGTATTAATCACATCAAATAAAAAACACTCTTAGTATTAATCACATCAAATAAAAAACACTCTTAGTATTAATCACATCAAATAAAAAACACTCTTAGTATTAATCACATCAAATAAAAAACACTCTTAGTATTAATCACATCAAATAAAAAACACTCTTAGTATTAATCACATCAAATAAAAAACACTCTTAGTATTAATCACATCAAATAAAAAACACTCTTAGTATTAATCACATCAAATAAAAAACACTCTTAGTATTAATCACATCAAATAAAAAACACTCTTAGTATTAATCACATCAAATAAAAAACACTCTTAGTATTAATCACATCAAATAAAAAACACTCTTAGTATTAATCATATCAAATAAAAAAATCACTATCTAACAAAAAAAGATAGGTGAATAATCAAATCTGTCAAACATAAGTTGTTGGCTAATAAAAGAAGGATAAATGATATTTTTTATCAGTGCCTTAGAATGTGCAGAAATTAAATCAAACACCAAACTATTGCGAAATTGCTCCTGCTATTTTTCTATTAAAGTCTTTATGGTGTAAACAAATCAAAAATACTTCTACAAATTAAAAACAAATGAACAATACATGAACTCATACAGATAAAAGTTTTTTTGGATTACAGTATAACTTAAAAAACAAAAAGTTGTTACCATAAAAATTTGTACAAGATTTGTTACTTATAGTCCTGTTTTAGGTTAACTTATATTTTGGTTTTTTATTAAGGATTTTTATGACAGTCACTTACTAGTTAAAATAGATCTTTGAATATTGGTAACTGGTATACTGGTAAACAACTTGAAAGAAGGAAAAAAATGCTGCTTTCTTGTAGGGTTTGTTTTTTTAGGCAAAGGTTAGGAGAAATAAACTCTAACTTCTCCTGCCTTTAGACTCTTGGTTGAGTAAAGGCTAGAGATGGTATCTCTAGCATTTACTCAACCAAGATAAAAATACTCATCTTGGGCAGACTTTAAATGCATCCTGCTAGTAGAAGATCTACTAGGTAAAGACTTTAAGGGTAAATAGAACAAGCCTGTGGATCAGCATTGCACCCTTTTCTTCTTTTATCATTTTATGACTGTTTTAATATATTTTTTACAATTATTAATGATCAGCCAAGCAACCTTCCATCAGTTGAACCTTAAAATTTACCAGACTTGCATGCTCTTAGTGAGACTAATTTAAATTTCGCTATTCTTTCTTCAGATCTCAGTGTTGATGGGTTCTATCCTTTGATTCATAAAGACTCCAATAGCCACATGCTTGGCTCGGGGTATACATATGCATCAATTCACCTATTTGTAATGAAATCTTGATTCGAATACTTGGAGAACTCCTTTATGTATTTTCGCTTAGCACCTCTTCATTCCATCATATTTCTCTTTGTTCTTTATTATTCTCCTTCTTCCCAAGACTGTACTCTATTGTAACTTATGATCAAATTGACCATGCCTTCTCTCTTTATCCTTCTCCAACATTGTTGTTATATATGACTTTATTTTTCATTACACTGAATGAGTAGGGTCTAATGCCACTGACCCTGCTGTCACTAAAGCCTGTCACATTTTTGAATCTCTTATTCAGATAGTTAACTTTGTGACTCATTTTCCTGACAACCATAACCATTTACCTTTGCTCCTTGATTTATGTCTTTTTTTTTATTCTAGATTGTGTTCAGCTACTCCTTTTTTTCCCTTAGGTGGTTTTGACCATGCAATGATCTCTATAATTATTTCATCTCAAACTTCTTTCTTGGACTCACCCTATCATCACACTACTAAATTCTACCCTAAAGCTGATTGGAATTCATTTCATGATTTTCTTCATGATGGTCCTAATTCTAAGGTTTTTTTGCACTCAGCTGATAAATGCACCTCCTGTGTAACCTCCTAGATTCAGACAGGAATATAAGCTTTTTTCATTATTTTCTTTTTGTGTAGCTGCTATATCAATATATATATGCTATATAAGAAAAACTTTCTCGAGAACAAATAACTATTTATTATTGCAAGAAATGGATGTAAAAAGGTGCTCCATTACTCTCAGTTCACTAAATCTCATATCTTATCTCAAAAGTTAGGCTATAGAGACTTTTGGACATTAACATTCCATCTCTCATTCATGGGACTAATCTTATTACCTCTTCCTAGGATACCTCTTACTAGAACTATTTACAAAATACTTTAATCTGATTCAACTCTTGAACCTTATGGGTTTTTTCTTTTCCTTCCATTCCACTTAAACAGGTTAACACATTGTTAGTCATTCAAACCACTCTAACTTCCGTTGTGTAAGTCAAAACTCAATTTAACTCTTCTAGAGCTTGTGGTGCAGACAGCATTACTATCATAGTCTAACAATATTGTTCTCCAGAACAATTCTCTCTTTAATTTTCTTTAAACTATTTAATAAGTGCTTGACTGAGTTTAGTTTTCCTGCCTGCTGGAAAATAGTATTTCTCAATTTTCAAAAACTCTAGAGGATTTCATTCTGATCCCTCCAATTACTGTCCAATAAGTCTTCTTTTTGCTATTAGAAAGATCTTTGAGTCTTTGATCAACATATTTCTCACATCCTATTTTGAGTCAAATAACTTACTGTCAGACAATCAACACGGTTTTCAATTTTCTTGCTCTATGGCTGACTTGATAACTGCTGTGACTGAAAGATTTTATTGTGCATTAGATGAAGGCGGAGAGGCTAGGGCTATTGCTCTTGACAAATTTAAAGCTTTCGACAAAGTTTGGCATGATGGTAATCTCTATAAGCTTATTTAATATGGTGTAACTAGAAAAGTTTTTGAGATAATCAAATGCGGTAGTGGTGCAGTGGTAGAGTTCGCGCTCGCTTCATAAGCAAGAAGTTCCAAGTTCAATCCCCACCATGTCCCTGGTAATATCGCGCTTAACTCGTTTCTCTGCGCAAAAGTAACCTCTTCGTCTGTAGTGGCCTTCTCGGCCTTGAGGAGGTAAATTAACAAAAAAATCATTTATTTCTAACCGCTTTATTAAGTCAACCTCGAAGGCCAACAAAGAGGTCCCAGTGGCTTGTGAATTTTAACTCCAACAAAACCCAGTTATTTACTACAAACAATTATCGCAATACTGTCGACATTCCTATATTCATGAATGGAAATTGTCTCACTGAGTCCTTTTATGTTTACATACTCTTGAATTATTATTTACTACTAAACTTTATATTGTATATACAATCGATTGCTAAATTAGCATTTGCTAAGGTTGCTACTTTTTATCGTTCTTTCCATTTTCTTACTCATGATTCTATTCTCTACATATATACAAATCTCTTATTTGTCTCTGTATGGAATACTGTTGTTATATTTGGGCTGGTTCTTCTAATGATGCTCTTCACCTTCTAGACAAGATCCAAAAACACATTGTAAACATAGTTGGACTCATTCTATCTGCTAAGCTTGAGCTTCTTCTTCATCGTTGTAAAGTCGCATCTCCTTCTTTTATTTACAAATACTCATCATGGTTGCTGCTCCAAGGAGTTGTTTAACTCTTGTTCCATTAACTAAAACTCATTCTTGCTTGACTCTTCATTAGGCAAAGTCTCCTTTGTTTACTCCATCTGTCAACAAAAACAAAAAACACTTCAGCTCATTGGAACTATCTCCCATCTACTTATTTTCCTGACACAACTTTTTAAGTCTTCTGTCAGCCATTTCCTAGCTCTATAATTCTATCCTTTTTTTCCTAGTAACTCCCAACTTAATAGGGATTGCTTGCAACTTTGTTGGAAGTGAATCAGAATAAAAAGAAAAACAAAAACAAAAAATAAATAATTAAAGCAAATTAGCAACTAATATAAAAGTTTGAACTTTTATATTAATTGCTAATTAATAACAAAACCAATCACAAGTTTGTAGAAGAATTGTATGAAGAGTACTGATAACACACAATTACAGGTATATTCATTCTTTTTTTTAATGTTATTCACCTCCCTAAGACTGTAGTAGCCTACAGTGGCTATTTTATTGTGGTTACAACCCTCTCTCAACTTTTTAATTCCATAACACGAACCTTAACAAACAAAGCCGGTGCGCAGAGAAACAAGTTGAGTGGGGTACTACCATAAACATGGTGGGAATTAAACTTGGAAGCTCTACCACTACAACACTACTGCATTTTGATGGATATAAAACTTGTGGGTTGATTTGGCTGGATTTGACAACACTTTCATATTCACAGAAAATCAAAACAGAAAATTAGAAATTAAATTAGCAACCAGATCAATAAGTACCAATCTCTAAATATAACTCAAGACTTTGAGTCTACCTGAAAAAAGCTACAGTAAAAAAATTTATGACTTATCAGCAAAGTGTTTTGCTGATAAGTTTTAAACGGCTATCAGCAAAGTGTTTTGCATCTTTAATATAATAAAGAGTGAATAAAAAAGGAATAAAGAGGCCAAAAAAAGCACTTTTAATTCCTAATAATAAGGAGAACAATGGTTAACATGGCAGTTATCTATAAAAAGTTAAGAGAAACTTAAAATCATGGAATATAAATTGCGCCCACAAGGTAAAAAGCTTATAAATAAAAAAAATAAGTGAAAAGTAGAAGATCCAAAACAATTTGAAATTTCCACAGAAAGTGACAGTCTGTCAGACTCTGATGATACATCTACATTCCTGGTGCACAGAAAGTGACAGTCTGTCAGACTCTGATGATACATCTACATTTCTGGTGCACAGAAAGTGACAGTCTGTCAGACTCTGATGATACATCTACATTCCTGGTGCACAGAAAGTGACAGTCTGTCAGACTCTGATGATACATCTACAAAGACAGAAAATTTTAAGGGGAAGTACAATTTAGTCTTAAGGTGAGTATGGATAAATTCTTAAATAACTGGAAAATCATGACAAAATATGGTATTGATTTTAGACAAAGGATTTGCTTGTTGACTTTTCTTTATAAAACCAGTGGTTTTGATCTTGAGAAGTTAGAGATCTTAAAATCAAATCTTAGCAGAAAAATGTAGGAGAGTCAGATGGTTACATCATCCAAAAGCAGATACAAAGATTTTAGAGACAGTACACCAGTCAAGAAATAATTTCCACAAAACAGAAAAGGTTCACTATAAGTGTTTCTTTCTTTCTGATCGATATTTTGAAGATTAAAACCTTGAAGTATTAAACGATTGTTAATTCATATTATTTTTAATTACTATGAGCATTCAGGTCAGATAATTGAAGTGTGTACTGATACCACAGCAAGCATCACTGGAAAGAAAAAAAGAAAACATAAGCAATTTTGTTGTTCATGGTTTAGGTAGCCTATTATCTGATTAAAAAGATACCACATATATAATAGTTGTGAGTATTGTGTCATGAAACTTGTTCTTGCCACAATAAAAAGTTTCCATCCAAAACTTTGACAAAACTAAACGGACAGCAAGGCTTGTTAACATTAAATTGATACAATTTTTGACTGTTAATACTAAGTTCTTACAATTTTAGCAACATTTATATCAACAATTTTATTTATTTTATATAAAATGTTTTTTTATTAACATATACAAAAGTAGTATAGGAACTATTTAATATGTTTCCTAAATTATCTTCTTCAATTGCAATAATGTATATTGCAACCCTCGGAATTAGGAAAAATGAGGTCAGCAATAATTTGCCAACTTTATTCTGTTAGTGGTCAGCATTAGGTCAGCAAAAAAATTTGATTTTACCATAAAACATAGAAACAAGGTCAGCAATTTTGTTTTGAGGGCTGATTTTGTAAATCAAAGCTATTCCTTTTTTTTTTGAAACCTTTGGAAATATTTATTTAGTTAAAAACAATTAAAGAATTAAATAAATTAAAAGTGAGAAAACAGTTATTGTCAAGTACTTTCAGGTACTTAATACAAAGCAGGGTGGAAATAAAAGGGTGGCGAAAACTTGTCTAGATCTAATAAAAGGAGAAGAGGTTGTGCCTTAATAAAAGGGTAGGAGGGAATTTTATTTTTAAATCTAATAAACAGAGGGTTATATTGATGGAAGGTGGTAGGATTTTATCTCCAGATGTAATAAACAGAGGATTCTTTAAGCCTCTCTTGAGTTCTAATTAACAGAGGGAGGGATGAATTCCCAACATACAAGCAAGATTTCCTTAAATGAAATGAATGACTTTTAAAACAAGTTTCATTATCAACTTTAAAAAGGAAATATAATTATAAAAACAAATTCTCAAAAGCTGATTGAATCATTATAATCCCAGTCACTACTTCTGACGCCATTTTACATATTTAAGTATTTTTTATAAATGACTTCAATGGTTCATCTCCAATCAAAATCTCATAAATTCTAATTTTATACAGAACAAAACAAAGTGGCTTATGATTTTTTTTTCTAATATGTAACAATGTAATTCTAGTGGCTTATAATATATATATATATATATATATATATATATATATATATATATATATATATATATATATATATATATATATATATATATATATATATATATATATATATATATATATATATATATATACATACATATATATATATTTATATTAAATTGTAAAAGAATTCTATAACAAATGAACAAAATTAAAAAAACAAACATAAAATTTCAAAAAATTATAAGAAAGAGATAACTTGAAAGCCGTAAATATTCTGCAACATTCAATAGATATTAATAGTATATTTGATTTATAAATACATAGCTTATAAAGAGACCTACTGATAAAAATTTTCAAGTTCTGCTTCACGAATCTTTTCTAACCGCAGTTGATCAGCAAAAACCTAAAATCATTTTAAAATCAACAAATAAAGCTTATTAATAATAATCAAATAAAAAATGCTTACTATTGGGATAATTTTATTCCTAAACAAAAGAAAGTTTTTTAAATCCTTAATAGACCATTGGTACTTCAAAATAAATCTCTTGCATTTCCATTGCCAAGGGTTTTTTTAGTTAAAGTCTAGCAAAAAGAGTTAGAGGGCTTAGTACTAATCATATAGTTTTTAACTAGATTTAGCATTTAAATAAGTTGGTAAAATAGAGTGAATAATGTATGTTGCTTGGCCAGAAATAGTCATAAAAGAAAAAATAAAAGTTTAATTTATGATGATTGATTAATATATAAAATAGTATAATTTTTGATAGCTTTACCAAATTTTGGGCAAAACATATATATATATATATATATATATATATATATATATATATATATATATATATATATATATATATATATATATATATATATGTTTATATATATATATATATATATATATATATATATATATATATATATATATATATATATATATATATATATATATATATATATATATATATATATATATATATATATATATATATATATATATATATATATATATCGTCGGGGATAGTGTAAATCCGCATAACTAGTATTGGCTACTATATTTGGATATTATTAATTGTAACACCAAATATTTATTGTTGAGATTACAAAAAACATGAATAATACTCTTTTTACTAAAATGAACCCAAAATTAGTTAAAATAAAAAATAAACAAAGTTTTAAACTTCTCCAGTAAAAAAAATGTACTGTAGATACGCGGTATTATAAAATGCTAGTTACACGGTTTTGCATTATCCCCTACAATATATATATATATATATATATATATATGTATATATATATGTATATATATATATATATATATATATATATATATATATATATATATATATATATATATATATATATATAGTAAGTGATTGGGGTTGAAATTTGACTGGAACCAGGGCTGGGTTTGTGACCGGGGCTGCATCACCAATTGTCTTCATACATCCTAAAATATATATTTTTAAATAATTCGAAATTCAAGATATTTTATAAATATATATGTATCATCATCATCATCATCATCATCATCATCATCATCATCATCATCATCATCATCATCATCATCATCATCATCATCATCATCATCATCATCATCATCATCATCATCATCATCATCATCATCGTCATCATCATCATCATCATCATCATCATCATCATCATCATCATCATCACCATCATCATCATCATCATCATCATCATCATCATCATCAAGCTTTAGCCTTTCACTATGTTGAAACTGTTTTTTAAATATAGTAACCTGTTGGTTATTATATTTAAAAACTCTAGAAAACACTCATACCTTTTTAACTATCCTACGATTAGGACCTTTCTTACCACAGTATTAAAGTCATTCTTAAAGGCCAACACTCTTTTTCATTTCCAGTAATTTTAGGAGTACAGCAAGGTTCTTTCAATCTTTGCTCCTGTATAGTTTTTATATCTTTAATAATAATCTTCCTAGCAATCTTTTTATCTAAAAAGGGATCAATTTGCCACAACTCAACTTTACACTTTTGTTTTGATAAAAATTCTTCACTTTTTGATTGCATAGAATGAGCAGTCAATCTTTAATCTGATATTTTTTCTGTAACAGCTTAAGGCATGCAGTGGCTTGTGAATTTCAACTCCAACAAAACTCAGATATTTACTGCAAACAACTATCCCAATATTGTTGACATTCCTATATGGATAAAAATAACCCAATCACTTTCAGATAAGGTCCAAAAGCACATCGCAAATGCAGTTGGTCCAAAAATGCAGTAAGGTCCAAAAGCACATCGCAAATGCAGTTGGTCCAAAAATGCAGTAAGGTCCATAAGCACATCACAAATGCATTGTTGTAAGGTTGCATTCCTTTCTTTTTTCTACAAATACATCTATTCTACTATCATTGCTAGTTCGATTAACCAAAACTTATTCTTGTGTGGCTTGTCATTTAGCAAAATCGCATCTTTTTATTGAATCTGTACCTCCATGCTACAAAAATTTTTATTCATCTAGTTTATTTATTTCCTCGCACATCAACAAGGAAGTATGGGGGCAAACAACAAAAATTGTCTTGTATTTGAAGAGAGTGGAAAACTTTAGTCCAGTAAAACCTAACAACCCAAATGATCTTGAAAACTCTGTTGATATGTTGGACATTACAGTCATAAATTTAAAAGAATTTGGAAAATTCGAAGAGTTAGCATATGGTTCACTCTACATTAAACTTATGAAGAAGTTACCAAGTGCTAAGTGTATTTTAATGAAGGTTATTTGAATAGAAAAAAAGTCCTGGGGTGGAATCGTTGTGATTTGGTTTTTCGCTGTGATTGGTTATTCAAGGAGCGGAGTTTTATACAAAAACATGCAAAGAAATATAAAAAGAAGCTTCGACTTGGATTCTTGTCTCCTTTCGTTATGCGAGCAAAAATATTATTTCAAGAACTATGGACGTCAGGAGAAGATTGGGATGAAACGCTACCAGACAAAATAAGACAAAAGTCGGATACCTGGTTTAGTGAACTGAAAAGTATTTACTAATGTAAAATACCACGTTGTTTACATATTAAAAACAATAATAAAATCATTTATTCAACTCTTCATGTATTTGTCGACACTTCACAAACTGCTTTTGGAACAGTATGTTATTTAGTTCATGGTTATGAATTTGGTGGAACGCCAAGTTCTTTTGTTTTGTCAAAAACTTGTGTCGCTCCATTAAATTCAGTTAGCATTCCAAGATTGGAGTTAATGAGTGCAGTATTAGAATTGAAACTTTGCGCTCTCCATCATAGAAGCTTTGCCTTGCACAATAAAAATGGAGAATGTTATATTTAGGTTGGATAACTTGAATACGTTATCCTGGATTAAAAATCCAAGTAGAGGATTTAAGTCCTTTGTTGCAAACAGAGTTGGCAAAATCCAGTCTCATTCAAATCCAAATCAATGGCATTATATACCGACAGGAAAAAACCCTGTAGATTTGTCATCTGGAGGAGTAAAAATAAAAGATTTACAAAAAAGTAACTTGTGGTGGACTGAGTCTGATTTCATCCAACATCAGGAATCCCAATGACCAACAAAGAAATTTAAAGAAATCCAAGACAAATTAATTCTAGAAGTAAAGAATACTTATATTTTGATGGCTATTAAATCCAAAGAAAATAGTGATGACTGGCATTTGGAACCAACCCTCAAGTTGGAGAAGTTAACACGAGTTTTAGCCTGGGTACAAAGGATCTAAATTAACTGTTTTGAAAAATATTCACCATCAGGAACACTCTCAACGGAAGAACTTAATGATGCAGAAACAGAATTAATTATAAATGATATAAAGGAATATCAAAAACTAGTTGCTTATTAAAATTATCACCACGAATAGATGAAAATAAAATGTTAAGATGCGACAGTCAATTAAAAAATCCTGAGTTTCTCACATTTGATGCAAGATACCCAATTATTTTGCCAAGACATAACCACATAACCAAGTTGATCATAAAAGAATGTCACGAAGCAGGACAGCATATATGTGGTGTAAATCATATCTTGGCGGAGTTATCTACAAAGTATTATGTAGTATCTGGAAGAGAAAAGATAAAAAAATGGGAAGCGGAGTGTGCAGAATGCAAGCAAAGAAAAGCAAAGTCAGCAAAGCAGATTATGGCACCATTACCAACGAAACGTTTGCAGTTTAGTATAAAGGCCTTTGAAAGGTGTGCTGTTGATTATGGTGGTTCATTCATAACCATTCAAGGAAAAGGGAAAAAAAAAGGGAAAAAGGCAAAACCTTATTTAGCCTTGTTTACTTGCTTGTCTTCACAAGCAGTTCACCTTGAAGTAGCGTTTGCATTGGATGCCGACTCATTTCTAAATGCATTTTTTAGGATGAGCAGTTGAAGAGGAACGCCAAAAGAAATGATAAGTCACGTATTATTAAAAAGTTTAATACACCCTACGCACTTTCACACGAACATATATATATATATATATATATATATATATATATATATATATATATATATATATATATATATATATATATATATATATATATATATATATATATATATATATATATATATATATATATATATATATATATATATATATATATATATATATATATATATATATATATATATAATTATATATATAATTATATATATATATATATATATATATATATATATATATATATATACATACATATATATATATATATATATATATATATATATATATATATATATATATATATATATATATATATATATATATATATATATATATATATATATATATATATTAGAGGTATAAGTGTCGCCTAATAAAATTTTAGAAAACAATTTTGAATTTTGAAACTCTAAAGCAAAACAGATTTTTAAACTGTTTTATGTTATCTTAGCATAAAAACAAATTTTATAACTAATTGTTTTTGGCTTTAGATAATATAAAAGTATCCTGACTTGTTTATAGTTTTTTACAAAACATAAATATTTTCCTAACATAAACAATATAATTTGATTTATCTAAAAATTTATTATTAGATTTAAATTATTTTAATTACAAAAATTAATATTTTTTAATTTTTTTATTTAAATTATTATTTAAATAAAAAAATTAAAAAATATTAATTTTTGTTGGTTTTTTTACTTTTTTAAAAACGTTCTCTGAATTAATGTAATCTAAAAGGTATGTTCATAAAAAACTGAGCTGTGTTTTGAACACAATAAAAAATATTTTAGGTTGAATAATATCTTTTAACTTTTTTAAAATATTTTCTCTAATTTAATTTAATTTAAAAAGTTATGTTCATAAAGAGCACAACAGAGTACACAGTGAAAAATATTTTTGACTTAATAAACTTTATAACAAGTATATCATATATAAGTATAATATAAAACACATACTTGCTGCATTGATTGAGCATCAGCTTTTAGTTTATCTTTTTTTGCTGCATAAATGGTTCTTTCTTCAGCTTCCTTAATTGACCAATAAATAGTTTTGTTTGTATATATATATATATATATATATATATATATATATATATATATATTATATATATATATATATATATATATATATATATATATTAGGGCTGTCCAAAAAAATTTTTTTTTTCAGATTTGATTGCATAGTTTATTTTGTGCCATTTGACATATTAATTAACTGTGCAATAAATCTTTCCGATCAGATAATGTTTAGGGGGTGCTCAATGACCATAAAGTTTTACGAAAAATGTGAAAAATATGGAAAAAGTAACAAAGTTCCACAAATTTCTAAAACCCGGTTAATTAGATTTTTCAGATTTGATCAGTTTTAATTATCTCTTAATATTAAATTCTGAATACAAATTACAATCTACACATCCACTTTATACTGGTTTATTAGCAGAGAAATTAATGAAATAAAATACTGCAATACGACTAAAGTTCTGCGGTTTTTGTTATATCAGAATTTTTCCAAAATAAAACACTAAGATTTTTGACTCTTTGTCATTGATTAAAATACGAATTATAAACAAAAAAAATTATTGTAAAGGAGTAACAGTTTCTCAAACCGTTATCAACTACTAAGTAGGTCAACTCAAAAACATATGAGCAATTAACATTTAATTATCGTAATGTTATAGTTCGTGCAATGTTAATGCTAGCGAGGACTATAACTCTTCAGAGTACACTTTCTGGCATCTGGCACTCGCTTTCTGTGATCCTCAACTACCTGAATTAACCTCTGCATTTCAGATTCATTCTTTGTAATCAATTCATTAAACATCGACATTAAAGCCACAGATCGTTCAGCAGCATCATTTACTACTTTCAATGAATATACTAAATTTTTTCCTTCTTGGTATTCTGGGGAATCATTCCAGGTAGCTGGATCGTTGTTGAACAGAAAATCAATATCAACCTTCATTGACCGCAACGCACTTGCTGAAACTGATGTCACCAGCATGTCCAGAGATTTCTTCTCTAGACTTTCAATGTTCTTTAATTTGATCAACCTTTCAGACCAGTTCTCACCGTGAAATTTCATGTTGGAAATCATTTTTCGCTTCTCTTCCGTTTTAAGTTTGTTTGAAAACAAAGCTAGTGGGACCAATTCTGGTGAAAGGTACCACAAATGGTTTTGAAATTTCTTGGCTGCTGCTTTGGAAATCGTTTTATTCACAACTGCAAACTGCTTAAGTTGCTGAAACAGAAACAAGTCATTAACTGGAGCATCGCTGGCATTTGGGCATGATATCCAAGATTTTACATAAACCAGACTAGCAAATAAGCAAAATTCACAGAGATTTTTTTCCTCTTTTGTGGTCAACTTGAACTCTTCACGAAATAAATAAATCTTAAAACAATAAATAACCTTGACCATCCAGCGAGCCATGTGATAAGCACCAGGGATCTTGAAATGATAATTTTTCTCTTCTTGATCAGGCAGTTTTCCAAGTATTAACAAACAGAGATCCATGATTTCTTTGTAGTCATCCCTTGGCATTTTAACATGCAGGTTTTCTTTGAGGAATGCCATCACTTCATTTTGTAGTTCTTGCACCAGGGGTATTTTCATTCGAATGTCATCCAGAGGTTTAAAATTTCCTTGATTAACTTTGGGCCAATATTGCTGAAATCTCTGGAAAAGAGGTATGTTGGGACCAGATGATGGTCCAAATAGTGATCCAAACACTCCTGCTACTATGATCTCATGAACATGGTGTCTGCAAGCAAAATATAACAAATTTCTACCTATATGTTTCTCTAGAACTACACATGCACCATTTTCGGAGCCAGTGTTAGAGGCTGTAGTATCAAAACTCATTCCAATAACATCACCAATCATGTCCCAGAAATTAAGCAGATGAATAGCTGCTTTTGCTTGGGCTTCTCCAGTTCCAGCTGATAGTTTTGCTATTCCAAGTATTTTGTCAACATTGTGACCTGTCACACCTACAGATAGCCGGTCAACATTTGCTTTAGGGTCTGCAGAATTTGTACGATCTATCATCAGTTTGCCATCCCAGTAGACGATTAATGGTGGTTTGTCCAAATCGCAGAATTCAGTTCGAACAGTGGCTTCAATGTTTGATCGATGATAGGTTCGTTTTCTACGGACTGTAGAATGTGACAATGATCCATCATCGAGGTTCTGTCCACCAGCCCTTGCAATTGCTGCTGCTAGTATAGTAAATTTTGTGTCAGATAGATTAATTCTGTCTAATGTTGATGAAACATCAGGCGAGTCAAGAATTGTATCTAAGATACATTGTCGTTTTGGAGTACTTGCTAAACTTGATTCAGCTGACCCTGAAGAACTTGCTTTACTGACTTGTTGTCTGTAATAAACAGGGATTTCTATCTCAAAATCTCTATCAACCATTTTGTCATTATCAACAGCATCGTTATCGTTGTCATCACTATAACTTTCGTCATGTAAAGGTTCAATAACAGGAACTATTGCACTCGCACCAGATTGTCTTTGCTCTTCTTTTAGCTTTCGTTCTCTCTCTGCTTGTTTCCTTGCTTCATTTCTTGCTTCTAATTTTGAAAGTTCTTTGTCCTCTCCAAACATCACCATTTTTCTCTGACATCTCTGATCCAATAAAAATTCTTTATCTTCTTCAATTCTGATCATGGTTTCAGCATCCTTGTGGGCAATGTCAAAAAGTAGGCCAATGGTGTCTGTAAATGATTTCTCTCTTGATTTCTGAGAATCTGACAATCTGGATTTTTTTTTTTTTATTAATTTAAATTCCTGGACTAAAGTTTTCAACTTTAAGACTACATTCGGATGAAATGCTGTCGGAATACGAGCTTTATTCCAAATAATAATCAGTTCATCAACAGTTGTTTTAAGACTTTCAGGCACTGACTTTTTGGTTGAATTAAGATGATAAAAAAATGTTTTTAAAACATCAGATGTTAAGGGAAGAACTTTATCTGGAAGATTTGGCTCTGGTTGTCCAATTAAAAAGATTTCGGTTTGAAGTCGTGTAGAGATAGCAACACGAGATGATGCTGCCATTTCAATGATAACTGAAAAATTATGAGAAAATCAAAACTCAATACCATATTATACAAACTTATCATTCAGTTGTTTAAACGTTAATTTTTAATTTTTAATTTGTAATTAATAGCTGATGATTGCCGAAAGGCACGAAACTTTAAGTACTATTATAATGTTGTTTTTCTTCATTTAAATAAAATATATATATATATGTTATATATTTAATGTTGTTTTTCTTCATTTAAATAAAATATATATTAATATTATATATTTAATTTCTTTACTAATAATAATTATTAGTAAAGAAATTAAATATTTATTTAATTTCTTTACTAATAATTATTATTATATATAGCTGCAGCTGCAGCAATATATAATAATAATTATTAGTAAAGAAATTAAATAAATATTTTCAAATTAGAAATTATTATCTGCACTTAATAACAAACAATACACTACCAGACTACCATGCTAGTTTTCTGTAATAGGTTACTAAGGTTAGGTACTATCAAAATATTAATACATTTGTTGTCAAACTGAAATTCCAAATAAAAATAATATTTATACTTGTAAACCTTTTTATTCTGTTTGAACAAATTCTAAATTGAGTTAAATAATAGTATTAAAATTATGAATACAAATTTTAACAAAATGATATAAACACAGTTGTTTTAAACACTAGCAGACATTTTTTAGTCTGGTGCCCTGATGACAGTTAATCTGCTGCACTTTAATTAATCTATATAGCATGCAATCAGACAATATTTCAGTGGAAAAAATCTAACTAACCAAGTTCTAGAAATTTTTGGAACTTTGGAACTTTTTCCACGTTTTTGACGTTTTTCGTAAAACTTTATGGTCATTGAGCATCCCCTAAACATTATCTGATTGGAAAGATTTTTTACACAGTCAATTACTATGTCAAATGGCACAAAATAAACAACTATGCATTCAAATCCGAGAAAAATTTTTTTTTCCTGTGTTCACATGAACAGCCCTAATATATATATATATATATATATATATATATATATATATATATATATATATATATATATATATATATATATATATATATATATATATATATATATATATATATATATATATATATATATATATATATATATATATGTATATATATATATATATATATATATATATATATATATATATATATATATATATATATATATATATATATATATATATATATATATATATATATATATATATATATTGATTGATTAATTATGTATTATATAAAATAATACAAAACTCTTGTACAAAAAACAGTGCTCAATATTATGATAATAGAGCAATATATATATATATATATTTTATTTAAATGAAGAAAAACAACATTATAATAGTACTTAAAGTTTCGTGCCTTTCGGCAATCATCAGCTATTAATTACAAATTAAAAATTAAAAATTAACGTTTAAAAAAATGAATCAAAATTTTTACGGTAGAACGAGTTCTGACGTAATTTGAAAAGGCGCAATCATTTAATCTCCAGTATCAAACGAAGATAACAGGAATTTATTTAAATGTAGACATTTAGATAATATTTCGTCTTTTTTATTAAGCAGGTTGTTTCCATTAAAAGATAAAATTTCTAACTTCTCATGAAGACAAAGTTTGCAGGTTTCTGTTTTTGTTAGAACTCGTTCTACTGTAAAATTTTGATTCGTCTTTTTAAACGTTAATTTTTAATTTTTAATTTGTAATTAATAGCTGATGATTGCCGAAAGGCACGAAACTTTAAGTACTATTATAATGTTGTTTTTCTTCATTTAAATAATATATATATATATATATATATAATATATATATATATATATATATATATATATATATATATATATATATATATATATATATATATATATGTATACATATATATGTATATACATATGTATGTATGTATATACATATGTATGTATATATATATATATATATATATATATATATATATATATATATATATATATATATATTGATTGATTAATTATGTATTATATAAAATAATACAAAACTCTTGTACAAAAAACAGTGCTCAATATTATGATAATAGAGCAATATATATATATATATATTTTATTTAAATGAAGAAAAACAACATTATAATAGTACTTAAAGTTTCGTGCCTTTCGGCAATCATCAGCTATTAATTACAAATTAAAAATTAAAAATTAACGTTTAAAAAAATGATATATATATGTTATATATTTAATGTTGTTTTTCTTCATTTAAATAAAATATATATTAATATTATATATTTAATTTCTTTACTAATAATAATTATTAGTAAAGAAATTAAATATTTATTTAATTTCTTTACTAATAATTATTATTATATATAGCTGCAGCTGCAGCAATATATAATAATAATTATTAGTAAAGAAATTAAATAAATATTTTCAAATTAGAAATTATTATCTGCACTTAATAACAAACAATACACTACCAGACTACCATGCTAGTTTTCTGTAATAGGTTACTAAGGTTAGGTACTATCAAAATATTAATACATTTGTTGTCAAACTGAAATTCCAAATAAAAATAATATTTATACTTGTAAACCTTTTTATTCTGTTTGAACAAATTCTAAATTGAGTTAAATAATAGTATTAAAATTATGAATACAAATTTTAACAAAATGATATAAACACAGTTGTTTTAAACACTAGCAGACATTTTTTAGTCTGGTGCCCTGATGACAGTTAATCTGCTGCACTTTAATTAATCTATATAGCATGCAATCAGACAATATTTCAGTGGAAAAAATCTAACTAACCAAGTTCTAGAAATTTTTGGAACTTTGGAACTTTTTCCACGTTTTTGACGTTTTTCGTAAAACTTTATGGTCATTGAGCATCCCCTAAACATTATCTGATTGGAAAGATTTTTTACACAGTCAATTACTATGTCAAATGGCACAAAATAAACAACTATGCATTCAAATCCGAGAAAAATTTTTTTTTCCTGTGTTCACATGAACAGCCCTAATATATATATATATATATATATATATATATATATATATATATATATATATATATATATATATATATATATATATATATATATATATATATATATATATATATATATATATATATATATATATATATATATATATATATGTATATATATATATATATATATATATATATATATATATATATATATATATATATATATATATATATATATATATATATATATATATATATATATATATATATATTGATTGATTAATTATGTATTATATAAAATAATACAAAACTCTTGTACAAAAAACAGTGCTCAATATTATGATAATAGAGCAATATATATATATATATATTTTATTTAAATGAAGAAAAACAACATTATAATAGTACTTAAAGTTTCGTGCCTTTCGGCAATCATCAGCTATTAATTACAAATTAAAAATTAAAAATTAACGTTTAAAAAAATGAATCAAAATTTTTACGGTAGAACGAGTTCTGACGTAATTTGAAAAGGCGCAATCATTTAATCTCCAGTATCAAACGAAGATAACAGGAATTTATTTAAATGTAGACATTTAGATAATATTTCGTCTTTTTTATTAAGCAGGTTGTTTCCATTAAAAGATAAAATTTCTAACTTCTCATGAAGACAAAGTTTGCAGGTTTCTGTTTTTGTTAGAACTCGTTCTACTGTAAAATTTTGATTCGTCTTTTTAAACGTTAATTTTTAATTTTTAATTTGTAATTAATAGCTGATGATTGCCGAAAGGCACGAAACTTTAAGTACTATTATAATGTTGTTTTTCTTCATTTAAATAATATATATATATATATATATATATATATATATATATATATATATATATATATATATATATATATATATATATATATATATATATATATATGTATACATATATATGTATATACATATGTATGTATGTATATACATATGTATGTATATATATATGTATGTATATATATATAATAATATGTATATATATATATATATATAATAATACATATATATGTATATATATATGTATGTATATACATATATATATATATATATATATATATATATATATATATATATATATATACATATATATATATATATATATATATATATATATATATATATATATATATATATATATATATATATATATTAAATTAAGTAATTATAGAACTAATTAAAAACATCAACAAATGAGTCAAAATGTTTCTCTTAATTAAAATGTTATCAAAACAGTGAGAAAAATGAAAAAAAACTCTGCACTATCTACAAAATCTAATAATACAAAATCTATCTACAAAATTGTTACTTTCAATTGCTAAAGCATCTGAATCTAGCAAAACTACTGTTTGTATGGGCATAAAACAATACAAGAGCTCTCTATCAATTGGACGAGCAAAAGGATCAGGAAGAAAAGGTGGCTTTAAGAATAAGAAAACAGCAATTAGAATTCGACAATCATTCTGCAAAATCTCGAGTTATCGAACAGAGGAGCCAAAAGGTATAAAGTTTCAGAGTTTTTTTGTCAGGAAAGTTAAGAAATTTTACAATTTCAAGTCTTATTGAGCCATTAAATATCCAAATCAATCAGATAAGCAATCACTGACTGTTTGAGCTCAAAAACTTTATGACAAAGAACTTACAAAATTTAATGACTGCATAATTATGGATGACAAAATGTACATCAAATGTGATTTCAAACAGCTCCCAGGTCCAGAATTTTACACTTGTAAGCAATAAGTTCAAATATAAAAATAGTATAAAATTTGGTAAGAAACTTCTGGTCAGCAATATAGTAAGAAACTTCTGGTCAGCAACATGCAGCTGCAGTTTAAGATCTTAAGCTTTTGTCACATTGTCAACTTTAAACTCAGATGGAATCTGAGTTTAAAGTTGATGAAGTGACAAAAAGTTTGACATCAAGGAATGCTTGCAAGCTGCAAGCTAGACTTTTGCCATTTTATCAAAGTCACAACCAGGGCCTATTCTAGGAAAAAAAGTTGGGCGGCGGTGTTTCTCCCTCCCAGAGTAATTTAGCGGATAATTGGTGTTTTTAGAGAAAAAACAATATTTACCCGTAAAAAACGTATATATAAAAAAAGTACTCAAATTTTAATTTGGGCAGCGCCAAAATACGATTGACGCTGTCAAAAATAGTCTAGAATAGCCCCTGACAATGTCCCCTGTTAATTCTGGCTTTCTTGTCATTATTCTACGAAGACCATAGAGTAGTGCAATTCAAGGGACATCAAATTCATACCAAAAACTGCCCACAGTTCGGTCCCATTGAGAAATTTTGAGGAATTGGCAAAGGATATTTGCATAAGAGTGGAAAAACAATAAGTACAGCTAAAGATTTGATCAGAGAATGGACATAAGAATAAAAAAAAATTGCTAAAGACACTGTGCAGAAGTTGATATCGTGGATTAGCGTAAATGTTCGCTTATTCGAAATAATGAAAAATATTAAAATAATAAGCATTTTTATAATCTTCAAGTTCCTTAGATTAAAATAAATTTTAAAGTTTTTGCATTACTTGCATTACTTACATTATTTTATTTATTTTTTATAATTATTTTGATACATTTGCCAAAATGGGACTTATACTGTCTCAAGTCTGCAAAATTGAGATTTTGGAAAATGGAGACTGAAGAAATATTATAGATTATACAGTATATTAAAGAAATTTAAAGTTAAATTCAATTTGTTTTTAAATTAGAAAACTATACCTTTTTGGCCATTTCTTCTAATAGTTGAAGATCCATCTCCTGTAAAAAGTTAATCTGTTAAAAACATCTCATAAAAACATTTACTATAAAAAAAATCTCCTATAAGTATGTATTTGATTAAAAACAAATGCTTAAAAAACAAAAAAATTTCAATTATGTACAAATTATATTCATTAAAAAAATAAAAAATAAACCAATGCTTCCTGTATCTGTTTACTTCTATTTTTAAGCTGCTGTTTGTTTTGACGTATGAGAAAATCTCTATAATCAATTAAATTGATTTTTGAAAAATACATATTAAAAAAAATATAATTGAAAATTTAATAAAATATAATTACCCAAAATCTTGTTTTTCTTTATGTTTCTTAATCAACTCTCTTTTTTTTTCCTTTTGAAAAAAAAATCAATTTACTTATTAAATACCCTGAATACTTTACATAGAAAGATAGTAGTTGAAAGATAGTAGTTGAAAGATAGTAGTTAAAAGATAGTAGCTGAAAGATAGTAGTTGAAAGATAGTGGTTGAAAGATAGTAGTTGAAAAATAGTAGTTGAAAGATAGTAGTTGAAAGATAGTAGTTGAAAGATAGTAGTTGAAAGGTAGTAGTTGAAAGATAGTAGTTGGAAGATAGTAGTTGGAAGATAGTAGTTGAAAGGTAGTAGTTGAAAGATAGTAGTTGGAAGATAGTAGTTGGAAGATAGTAGTTGAAAGATAGTAGTTGAAAGATAGTTAAAAATAAAAAATCAATTTACTCATTAAATACCCTGAATACTTCATAAAGAAAGAAGAGCAAAATAGTTGAAAGATAGTTGAAAAAAAAAGAAAGTAAAATAAAGTAAGTCAAATACTGGTTAACTTGAACTTTTATTACCTCGATCTGTTTTATTTGGTTGCTTGAAATTGTTTAATTTCAAACAACCAGATAAAAACTAATTACTATTAAATTTTCTCTGTTAAATTGAAGTTGGATAACTTTGATGGATAAATCAAACTTGGCTCTAGTGTCAGTGACTCTGCTGGCGTTAAGGCCCTCAACTTTTGCCTTTCTCAATCTCTAACTCAAATAGTCAACTTTCCAACTCGCTTTCCAGACAACCCTAATCATTTACTTTCTCTACTCGACTTATGTCTTGTTTTGGATCCTAGCCAGTGCTCAATTTCTCCACATTCACCCTTAGGTGCTTCTGATCACGGTTTGATCTCTCTAAAACTATTATCAAATTCTTCTACTTCATCAGAATCCCCCTATCATCGTACCACATACAACTACCTTAAAGCTGACTGGGACTCTTTCCGTGATTTTCTTCGTGATGGCCCTTGGGTAGAAATCTTTCGTCTTCCTGCTGACAAATGTGCTTCTTACATAACTTCGTGGATTCAGGCTGGCATGGAATCTTTTATTCCCTCTCGACGATTCCAGGTCAAGCCTCACTCTTCTCCTTGGTTTTCCTCACATTGCGCTGCAGCAATTTCTAATCGAAACCGTTACTTCCATATCTATCAGCAAAACAATTCTCCAGAAAACAGACATCTGTTCACTATCGCCAGAAACCAGTGTAAAAAGGTTTTGTCTGACGCCAAAGCTCGCTATTCTCAGGTCATAAAATCTCGTATCTCATCACAAAAATTAGGCTCTCGAGACTTCTGGAGAATCTTTAACAGTATCAATAATAAGGGCAAATCTGTTATTCCTTCTCTCTTGTATGGTTCAGACTTTATCACCTCACCTAAAGACAAAGCTGAATTGTTTGCTAAGAACTTTTCATCAATATCATCTCTCGATTCCACTAGTTGCGTTCTACCTGACATAGCCGTCAAACAGGTTGATCCCTTGCTTGACATTCGCATCACTTCAGCTTCTGTATCAAAAGTAATTTCCTGCTTAGACTCTTCAACAGCTTGTGGTCCTGACAACATTCCTGTTGTAGTCTTGCAGAAGTGTTCTCCGGAGCTTTCATCCATACTTTCTAAACTATTTAACAAGTGCTTATCAGAGTCCTGTTTTCCATCATGCTGGAAAGCAGCATCTGTTATCCCTATTTTCAAAAATTGCGGAGAGCGATCTGATTCATCTAACTACCGTCCCATTAGTCTTCTTCCTGTCATAAGCAAGGTTTTTGAATCTTTAATCAACAAACACTTAATCTCTCATCTTGAATCAAATAACTTACTTTCTGATCATCAATATGGATTTCGATCTTCTCGTTCTACAGCTGATTTGCTAACAGTAATAACCGATAGGTTTTACTGTGCATTAGATAGAGGTGGAGAGGTTAAGGCTATCGCACTTGACATTTCTAAAGCATTTGATAAAGTTTGGCATGCTGGTCTTCTCCATAAGCTTTCTTCTTATGGTGTATCTGGTAACATCTTTAAGATTATTGAGTCCTTTCTTTCCAATTGTAGTATAAAAGTTGTCCTCGATGGACAACACTCTTCTTTATATCCTGTAACTTCAGGGGTTCCTCAAGGTTCAATCCTTGGCCCTATACTCTTTTTAATTTACATTAACGATCTCCCAGATATTCTCACATCTAAGGTGGCATTATTCGCTGACGACACTACCATTTACTCTTGTCATGATAAGAAGCCTACACTCTCTGATTGCCTGGAGGGGGTATCTGAGCTTGAAAAGGATCTCACTTCTGCTACAGCATGGGGCTCACAGTGGCTGGTGAACTTTAATTCAGATAAAACTCAATTTTATTCGGCCAATCGTTATCGTAATAATTTAGATCTTCCTATACTTATGATGGTAATGTACTAGATGAGTCATCTACCATTCATCTTCTAGGATTAACTCTTACTTCTGATCTTTCTTTTAAACCGTATATCAAATCCATTGCAAAATTAGCATCTGCTAAGGTTGCATCTCTTTATCGAGCTCGACACTTTCTTACTCCAGATTCTATTCTCTATCTCTATAAATCTCAAATCCGTCCCTGTATGGAATACTGTTGCCACATCTGGGGCGGATCTTCTAATGATGCCCTTTCTCTTTTAGACAAGGTGCAAAAACGCATTGTGAACATAGTTGGACCTGCTCTGGCAGCCAATCTCCAACCTTTGTCACATCGTCTTGATGTTGCTTCTCTTTCTCTTTTCTACAAATACTATAATGGGCACTGCTCTAAAGAGCTAGCGTCTCTTGTGCCATCTACTAAAATTCATTCTCGTGTTACTCGTCATTCAATTAAGTCTCATCCTTTTTCTGTGACTGTTCCTAAGTGCTTCAAAAACTCTTATTCTTCTAGTTTTTTTCCTCGAACATCAGTTCTTTGGAATTCGCTTCCGTCATCTTGCTTCCCTGATTCATATAATTTGCAATCATTTAAGTCATCAGTCAATCGCTATCTTGCTCTACAGATTTAGTCTTTTCTCTTCCAGTAACTTCCAACTCTTATAGTGGTTGCTTGCAGCCTTGTTGGAAGTGAAGATGTTAAAAAAAAAAAAAAAAAAAAAAAAAAAAACATTTTTTTGATGGATAAATCAAACCATTTTTTCATCCCCTTTCAGATAATTTATTCAAATAGCTCAAACTTTTTGTATGGGAATTAAAGATATTGACATTTTTTTTTTTTAATAAAAAGAAGTCATTCCATATAAAACATAAATAACTGCAGCTTAATATATACTTTATTTTTTCATTGAATTTAGATCTGATTAGATTGTTATCAGACATAAAAGAATACTACAATAAAACTGTTAAAATATAAATTATGATAAAACTGTTATTGTTAAAAAACAATTATTTATAGTTTAACCAATATCTATATAAAAGACTGCTTCCTTTTAGATGCAATTTTATAACTAAATAATAAACTTTTTGAATGTTATCTTTTGACTGTACTGTGTAATTACAATATGTAACTTCTTTTATTGAAACATTAGTATAATGGTGTAAATTTAATGTATATACTTTATCATTGAATAAAGGAAAATTGTATTAATTGAAACTAATATCTTATATCAGCCAAATTTTGACTTAACAGGAACTTGTTTTAGTGGAACATTCATTGAATCAAACCATTTTCCTTGGTCCCTTGGAGGTTTGTTGGTTCCTTGGAGGTTTGAGGAATTAACTGTGTAAGTAACATTTTAAAAACAATTAATAGAGACTATAAATAAAATATAAATATTTAAAATAAATATTTATAATAAGTGATAATAATGAGTAGCAAAGGATAATAGAAGCCATTCAAGAAATTGATACATGTATGTATTTAATTTACCATATTTAGCAGAAAAAGATTATGCTCCTGTAATTTCATTTCTTCATTTCTAAGAGATTCTGCTTCTTTATTTTTCTTTTCCAACTCATTTATTTGTGCAAGCAGATCATGTGAAATTTGTTTTTCCTTTTTTTTTAATTCATTTTGATAATCTTTCATATAATTTAAAGCATGTAAATTTTCTTTTTCCATTTGCTCTTCAAGTCTAAAAAGTAAAAAAAAAAATTAAGATTTCAAAAATGTTTCATTTAAAAATAAAGTTTTAAAAAATTTTTTACTCAAAAAAACAACAACACAACATTGCATTAATTACTTCATGCTTATTAAATATAATAATTAGTTAAAAGAAATCACTTTTTACTAAGTGCATTGCATTAATTACTTCATGCTTATTAAATATAATAATTAGTTAAAAGAAATCACTTTTTACTAAGTGCATTGCATTAATTACTTCATGCTTATTAAATATAATAATTAGTTAAAAGAAATCACTTTTTACTAAGTGCATTGCATTAAGCAACTCCATTATAAAAGTATCAAGCTTAAAAATCTTTAGAAAAATGTTCTGTACAACTAAAACACTTTTTTTTTGTCAAAAAACTTTTAATGTACAATTAAAATTGAATTAAAATAAAACAAACTCAACTTAATTAGTAATCGCTGCATCAAGATAAGTACTATAATCATAAAGACTTAAGATGTAAACAGATTTTATCTGTTGACCAGCTTTGCATCCCTTCATTATTATTAAGCTGGCAAAGATGTATTTATAATACATTGTTTCCTGTTTAGGATTTTGAATGTTGGATCTTCTTGACTCATTGCATATTGTTTTACTTGTGTCTCTGTTTTAATGCTCTAAAGCTCAGTTTTATGGTTCTGAGGCTGGTAATCAAATTACCTAAACTCTGTGGTAGCTCTCAAAGAGGCTGATTCCATCAATAACTGTAAAACATCAGAGTATTATCAGTGTCATGTTGCGCATAAATGCTGTCCCTGTTCATACTTTTAGTGTGCATTTTCGAGACCACATTTGGAGCCCTTTGTTACAACTTAGGGTTTATTAATAGTAATGAGGCAATTGCTTGGACTATTAGATAATGTACTGAGTGCTATCTGTGCTTTGAGTCAAGTTTTTTAACAAATTTAAAAATGAATATAATAAAACTATAAAACACAAAAAACCATTATCACCACCAAGTTCTCTAAATCTATCATTCACTAAAATTTGTGGTTTTCAAAGTAACTTTTCGTCTGTTGAATCTTATCTCTTGCAAATTTCGCTAGACCCATTTGCTTTTTGTTAGACTAATTTGAGTTCAGCTGCCTCATCTTATGATCTTAGTTTTGACAGTTATTTACCTTTAATTCATAAAGACTCCAATAGCTACATACTTGGCCTGGGCATTTACATTCCTAAGAGTTTACCCATTTGTCCAGAAACTAGGTTTAATGCTCGTCACACTGAATGGCTTGGCTCTAGTGTCAGTGGCTTTGCAGGTATTAAGGCCCAAAACACAGGCCTCTCGTACCTCTTAAAACTACTCTTAAAACTGACTGGAATTCTTTCCCTGATTTTCATTCATGATGGCCATTTTCAAAAGACAAATTTTTCACTATACTTATAAAACATAAATAGCTAATTCCATACATATAGCAGAGTTTAAAAGTTAAACAATGATTTATAATAAACATGGACATTTTTTAAGAAAATGTTTTTATGTCATTAATTCTCAAACAATCACAAGTTCTACGAAAAAAAAACTATTTCTTCAATTGTTGTTAATGAACTATTTTTTATAAAAAACACTTTTTAACAACTTCCACCCAAAATATACTTACATGTCCATAACAACTATCTAAGTTAAGAGTTTTTACAGTTTAAACTACTCTTAGTTTAAACTGTAAAAATGTTTAATGCTTAAGAAGTAGAGCACTGCATCACAACTCAAGTTTGGGGTCAGATAGCTAAAGGAGATACATTGGTGAACAATAAACCTGTAGATACTGCTGCGCAGATATGAAGTAAGTATTTTTTGGTCAGAGTTAAAAGATTTTCTGACTATTTCTAAGAGCAAGACACCAACTGGAACAAATTAAGTTAATAGCTATGAGTCACAAAATGGAATTTTTTAAATCTTGACTTAAGTCAAGACCTAAGAAATTCTACATCTTAGGTCTTGAGTTAAAGTAAATTTATAAATAAGAATTCTTCATAACAGAGACAAGAAGCTTATTTTTATTATTTTCAAAATGATTTGAATGTAGTACACACAGGTACTTGCTATTTTGCATAATTAATAGAATCTCATTTACTAAACCATTAGACATTTATTGATATGATAATCAAAAATATTCTGTTGCGTCCTTTATTACTAGTGTTCTAAAAATTACTTAAATATGAAAAAATTAAATAATTTTTCTTCTAGAGTTAAAAAAAAATTTCTAAATAATTAATTTTTAAATTTTCTTCAGGTATTTTATTTTGGAGTTTTTATTTTCATAATTTTTAAGAGTCTTTGTTGGCATATATTTCAGTGAAATTTTTAACTGAATACAAATAATTATTTTACCATTTTCCTAATTTCTGTGTTTATAAAACCTAAAAAGTATAGAAAATATTTTATGGTATTTTTTATTTTGAGATTATTTAATAAAAATTGTATAACAAAAAAAAAAAATAATAATATGAAATTTATTAATAACATTGATAGTTTGCATTTGTTTCTGGTGTTTCAATTCAGTTAAAATATTTACAAATCAGGACATTAAACAAGTTCTAAATTGTTAAACAAAGTTTTTCACCTTTTCTTAAACAAGGTTTTTCACCTTTTCTTAAACAAAGTTTTTCACCTTTTCTTAAACAAGGTTTTTCACCTTTTCTTAAACAAAGTTTTTAATCTTTAAACAAGTTCAGGTTGTCTTTAAAAACATAATACACAATAACACAAAATCAAATACTTAAAAACCAAAAAACTTTCCATTTGATTTTAGATTTAAACTGTTTATTATTAGCATATTTATGTATTACCCAAAAAACTTTTCATTTTATTTTAGATTTACACTGTTTATTATTAGCATATTTATCTATATAATATATTTTATATTATAATATGTTATACTAGACATATACTTAAAAATTATACTTTACCAAACTTAGCCAGTGTAGATTTTATGATATTTCTTTAGCTTTTTAAAAGATCACTGGGAAGCTCATACTGATGAGTAACAAAGTCATGGGAATTGATGTGGTCATAAACTATTCTTTAGAAAGAAAGAGATCTTTCTTGTAGATTTTCTACTAACAACTACTTGTTAACACTAAATCCTCGTTCTATTGCCTATTGGCCATAAGATAAAACAAAAAGGATAGCACAGACTTTCCACAATGCTGAATACTTTTGAGTTTTGTGCAAATAGACACCAAGAAATTTATCAACAGAATCAGTTATTTTTTAAAAAACTCAAATTTACTTATTATCATTTCAAAGACTCTAAATCGAACACATTCTACATAAAAAAATTCATCAAATTGTGGTTTTGCATTTTCAGAGTGTATACTTCTTTGTTTTAAAATATTTCCTTTGGAAACAAGATGAAGCATTCCTCCCTAAAGAATACTTCAATGGGCATCTTTTTTGTAAATTTTGCAATAACTTATGATAACCTGATTACATTTTTTCTTAAATTTTAATTTAAGATAAAATAAAATTCTAATTCTGGTTCACAATGAATAGAACTTAGCATTTTAGTACTGTTCCTATGTCATTATGGTCTACTTTTAGTTGGTTATTTGATTTCTCTACTTCAATCTTTGGTAAACATAGGTCATAGGTTTGTCAGTTTGAAACAGAACTAGGAACTTTTTAAATTTTTTAGCAAGGTCTTTAAAAAACTTCACGATGCTACAAACTTGTCAAAATAATGATCTAAAAGTACTTCATAGATTTTGTTTTTAGGACATCTGCTTTTGCAAACTGATTCATAATATTTTATAATTTTAATCATGTTTGGCCATACAACAATTCCTCTAGAAGCCAAAGATGTATGTATGTATATGTATGTATGTATGTATGTATGTATGTATGTATGTATGTATGTATGTATGTATGTATGTATGTATGTATGTATGTATGTATGTATGTATGTGTATGTATGTGTATGTATGTATGTATGTATGTCAAATACTTCTGTTGCTTCATTGAGTTTGTCAAATAAATTTTGTGAATTGGGGCGTCTGAGGAATTTTGAGTCAATATATATAGCTTTTACAACACCAGAACTTAAATTCTAGTATCTAACTCAGAAATTCATTTGGTCATTTTTGAAGATAACACTCATACTCTCATCATATGACAAAACAAAGATTGGTGACGCTCTGACATCAGAGAAAAGCTGGTCTCGATAGTATGGTGCTAATCCAAAATAATAGGCAACCACATTTTGTTTTACTTAATGCAAATTTTGATGCTATTGTGCTGTCAGAGAATAAGAATTTAAATATTTTATTTAAATTTAAGCACGATCTTAAATAAAAATCTGACATAACTACATTTAATCTCCATATTATTTCTGCCTTGGTAACCAGAATTAGAGATTAAAGATCCTCAATAGTAGGCTGGACTGATTTATAGTTTATATATTTTTTAAATTAGGAGAACTTTTATCTAAGTGACTGATAGAACACAACTAATTTACTACAAGCTTTTCAAAATTCAGGAAAACATATATTTAAATAAAAGTAAAAAAACTTGAATTGAAATAAAAAACCAGTAAAGAATATATATGCTGCATTAAGTGTTTTTGCAAAAAAATTTCTTTTCAGTTGGATAAGAATCCATGGCCATACGCTCATGTTAGAAATATCCCATTCTAAACTAACTCTAGCTTGCTTATTTAAAATTTGAAATACAAAATTTTACCCAAGAAGAATACTTTTTGTTGTACAGCCATTCTGTTTGAAAGTTCTTTGTCTTGGGCATTATATTAGTTATATACTATACTTTTTAAAAAACTATTAGATGTTAATAATAATCACAGTAATAGTTTACAAAAATTTTTTTGCATTTCAGAAAATACATAATAATAAATACAGTAGAAATCTAGGGAATATTAATGAAATTTCTGTAAAAGGTAAAAACATGAACGATATATTGAACTATTTCAGAAAAAAGTTCCAGGATTTCCGGGATTTATGGCTGAAAGGGGTGTTTTTCCAGGACTTTTCAAATACCTATCAAATTCTAGAATATTTCCAGGTTTTCAAGGACCGCTGGCCACACTGATTATATTTACATAAATCTCTTAAAAATTGACTTAATTTTTTAGGACTGTTTATGACACAATGGATTACTATTTGCAATTTAAGGCCTCCCACAAATGCTGTATCAAGTTACCCCATACTTGCTAATAGAAAAAAATCAATTTATTTTTTGTATCAACTTATTTTTTCAATGATTTTGTTTAATGAAGTAAAGAGCCTATGGATTATAGTTTACAAAATGGTTTTACTTACCGATATACACATAGATTAGCATACCTTAAAACTTAACAATTTTAAAAACTAAAAAACTACTTTGTCATCAAAAAAAAATTTTTTATATTTGTGTTACATTTAGAATTAAAAATGTATTTTATATACTCTGACTGACTGTTAAAGATGTTTGATTAAGTTATATTAAAATATAATTTCTTATTTTGGATACATTCCTTTTAACAATGTTCTACTTGCATTTTTTTAGTTTTGCTGTTGTATACAAGTCAATTTATGTACTATTAGTTTACTAAGAAACTTTTTTATTTCACCCCCCAATATGAATTTAGGTATATTACTAATTTATATATACCTGAAAACCTATAAAAATCTGGGTTTTTAATATTTCCACTGACTAAATTTTTCTTTATTTGAAAGAGTTTAACATAAAGAATTTTTTCTTAGATCTATAAATAATAAATGTTATTAATATTAAAAAAATATTAAATAAAAAAAATAATTAACTAGTATCTATCATCTTTATTTTTGTTGTCAGCGTCATCATCATTATATACTATCAATAAAAAAAAAATAACCTTGCATCAAATTCCTCAGTACACTTCTTTATCTATAATTATAAAAGTCTTTATGAAATAAATTTCAAAAAAAATTTAGTTAAAATAAAAACTGATTTGCAACTTGTAATAAAATTAAACTTATTCTAATTTACATATTAAGTAAATCATAAAAATAAACCACACCATATAATATCTTTTTATTATGCATGTAACTAAAAATAACAACATTGTTTGTTAAGGTACTTTTATAAGTTTTTTTTTTTTTTTTTTTTTTTTTTTTTTGAGCTACTTACAGCATTACTTACTAATTGTCTAGATTATTAATTTAAGTTAATAACACAAATTCAAAAACAAATTTTATTTTTATACTTAATATAAATTATTTAGATTTTTTCAAACAGTCATGTTTAAAGCTGCATCATAACATATAAATTTGCTTGTTACAAAATATTTGGTTGTTACAAAATATTTGCTTGTTACAAAATATTTGGTTGTTACAAAATATTTGCTTGTTACAAAATATTTGCTTGTTACAAAACATTTGCTTGTTACAAAATATTTGCTTGTTACAAAATATTTGCTTGTTACAAAATAAGCTTTTTATTGAAGTTTTGTAGTTAGTGATTAGATATTTCAATTTTTAGGTAAGTTTGACAGTCAGTTATAGAATATTTAAATTTTGAATGTCTTCGTAAAAAAATGCAATGGCTTCGTAAAAAAATGCTACAAAACATGGCTCTTAATAGGCACAGAGCTTAGGTTGGGAATAGCGTTTGTATTTGACAAAGTTTTCCAAAGAAAGGTAAAAGGTAAAAATTTTAAAAAACTTGTAATACACAAAAATATTATGAAAAGAAGACATTAGATACAATTATAACTTGATTAAATTAAAAAAATAAACTTCAATGTTTTGGTCTCATAGCAAAAAGTAACTGCATACTTTGTAATATATGGCTTATTTACAAGAATAAAATCCTCATGCATATCAAATAACACACTTCACCAAATAACTACTAATCTACATATATATTTGTATTAATACCTTTTCTTTTTCTAATAGCTGTTCTCTCCAATCATTTGCAAGCTCCTTTTGTTTTGTCTCTGTTTCCATCTGAGTACAAAGTATAAAAAAATTTTATCATCAAAAAAATTTGTATTAAATCCGGAAAAATCATAATATATTTTTTAAAATGGAAAATATTTTAATACTAAATAAATTAATAATAAGTGAACTTTGTTCTTTTCCATGTTAGGTTTAGTGTAAGTCATCCTGATTGTTGGCTTCCATGTTAAAATTAGCAAATACTGAATTAGTACTATCTTAAAATAAAGTGAAAAATTTAAAGATTGAAGGCCCAAATAAATGATTTTTATTAGATAAAAATTGAGCATAATATTTGGAACATCTTAAAAATTTAAAGAAAATTTGTTATAATGCACATTATTTTAAAATAGTTTTAAATCAGTACTAGCTACTCCTAACATGCAGGGCAACAATCAGGATGACTTAAACAGTAAAAATTTAAACTCTACAACTTGCTCTACTGTGTAAACTCTAGTAACTTGCTCTATGTGATTAAGTACAAAAAGATCATTTTTATTGATTTCTAGAAGATCAAGTTAGCAAGTAATCCCAATAAATCTAATTACCTAACTTGATATCACAATCATGACTAATCAACAGCAATTGCTAAAAATTGCTCTCAATATTTAACACATAAATGCATTGCAATATTTATCTCTAATCTTTCTGTATGATTATAAATGCATTGCAATATTCATCTCTAATTAATCTTTCTGTATGATTATAAATGCATTGCAATATTCATCTCTAATTAATCTTTCTGTATGATTATAAAAATGTTATTCAAAATAATAAAAACAAAAACGCAAAATAAAAATATAGACAACTGCTGTTATATCTAAATTTTCATAATATACAGACCAAATCTCAAACTTTTAAAATCTAGTAATTATTTTATAACTTGAAATAGCCTACCTTCTAAAAACAAGAGGTAACAGCCTACTTTCCAAATACAAGAGGGAATAGCCTGCTTTCCAAAGACAAGAAGTAAATTAAGAAGACTATTAATTTATTTTTATATTGTTGAAATCCTCCATCATTTGGCTTGAAACAATCTTTTTAAACAATATGACATGGGATTTCCCATATTTCCTTTTTCTTTTATTATTTATCCTTACTTAAAAATATTTTAATTTTTTATAGAATGTTATCTATTTAAATATACTGAAAATGGTATTGTTTAGAAAATATTTGAATATAATATAGTATAAATAGTACTTATATTAAAAATTTATATTTTTATCATAATAATATTACTTTTATCAAAAACTTATTTTTCTACCAAAACTTTTAAAAATTTAAGAACTTTTGAATAAATTTTTTATTAAAACCTCTCTAATTCTTGGATCATTTTTTCTCCAGCATTCATAATCTTTTTCTGCAGCAATCTAATAATAAAAATAATAATAATTTTTTTAACATATTAACATTAAAAAATAATCAAATTTTTTAGTTTTTATAAAAAATATAGTACACTAAAATTTAATAGTTAAAAAAAAAGGACTTTAGAATTTTAACAACAAATATTGTAAACTTTATAAATTATAAATACGTAAGCGTTTCGAAACTTAATTAAAAAGTAACCCTATTTACTTAATGGCTCTCAACCTTTTTTAAACCAGCATTTTTTCTTAAAGAAAATATAGCATAATAAAATACATTTTAAACTTGTAAAATAATTCAATTAAACTACAAATAATTTCTGTATTTTAAAATCTGCCTGTTGTTTGTTTAAAGCTTGCTAAAGAAAAGTTAGCAAAGAACTTAAAGAAAATTGTTACTTATTAAAAAAAAATTTTATTCTCTCTATGTACTATTCTCGTTCCACTGATCTTAAAAACAAACTATCCTTAAGAAACAAGTTAAACTATTTAGTGGCACTAAAAAACAACCTTTAAGATTGTTTCTTGTGCCACTATCTTTAAAAAACAAATTTTGAGATCAAAATTTCATCAGATACTTGCTCTACTATGTAAACTCTACTAACTTGCTCTTCTGTGTGAACTCTACTAACTTGCTCTACTGTGTGAACTCTACTAACTTGCTCTACTCTGTGAACTTTACTAACTTGCTCTACTGCATGAACTCTACTAACTTGCTCTGTGTGTAAACTTTAAATTGCTTTACTGTGCTCTTAATTAAGATAATTATTAAATTTATTAATTACGTGTGACTTTTTCCCATTATTGTGTTACGAAGTGACTTTTGCTCTCACTCATTCCAAATTGATTTCAAATTTCTGGTAACCTGTTCAAACACTATTACAATACTCAATTTTCCCAAATAAAATTATAATACCTACTCAGTAAGTAAACTAAAAAAGCTTAGGCCGTCTCACATGATGTATTTAGTTAAGACTTTACTACTCCGCATAATCTGATTTTTTTCCTAGATGAGATGCTCAACCACTGCAATGTAAACTGCTGCATAATAAGCTGTTGGAGATGAAATTTGACCGGGGCCAGGTTTGATAAAATATAGTCATGGCTGGGTTTGTGACCGGGGCTGCATAAACATTTATACAACTTAAAGTATATTTTTAAATTCAAAATTCATGTTAGATTTTTTATATATATTATTTTATATATTTTTATATATATAAACATCATTTTGATCAACATGATCGCCATAATCATCGTTATTTTCATCATCTTTATCATCATCATTATAATCATCATTATAATCATCATTAACATCATCATCATCATCATCATTATCATCATCATCATCATCATCATCATCATCATCATCATCATCATCATCAAGCTTTAGCCTTTTTCTTTTATGCTGTTTATTTTATGCTGTTTCTCTAATATAAACAATTTTCTTTCCTCAACTTAAACTCATTCATACAATATGTAAGGCTTTTAAGTTTTCTACCAGTACCATTTTCTCCTGAAACTGCTACTTCTCTACATGCTGATACTTAAATCACTTTAATCTTTTATAAAAAACATTGTTTGATACAACATTTTTTACTACTCTGTCTAAGATGATGCCTTCTTATCTTGTCCTGTTTGAGTCACACCACACACCCATCTAATCATCTTCTCTTACAACAAATGCTACACCATATAAATACTAAAGTTTATATAAATATGTAAGGATATTGTATGCCAGCATCTAAATAAATAGCAAACATATATGTTTATATTGATATTGTGTATGCACAAATTCTTGGAAGCTTTTATTTCTTCTGGAATAGGGGTTTGGAAGCTTTTATTCCTTCTGGAATAATGGTTCGAAAGCTTTTATTCCTTATACTTATTTTTACTCTTTGATTTTAAGTTTCATTCTACTCCATATTTTTCACCATTATAATTTTACTTCAATACTAATTGTCCAATTGGATAAATTGATAAAAACATTTGATTAATTTTTCGGAAGAAGTTTGGAAGCTTTTACTAACTTAATCATTTTAAACTAGAAGTAAGTTGATGAATTCTTATTACTTAAATCTTAAAATGTTACTTAAATAAGTTTAAAAATTTGCAGAAGGTTAGTAACCTTCAAAGGTTAGTAACCTTCGAAAGTTAGTAACATTCGAAGGTTAGTAACCTTCAAAGGTTAGTAACCTCTTGTTAGTCAAAGCAAATGCAATGTGTTTAGTAATTTTTGTTTTCTATTGCAGGGAAATTGCCTATTTCTATTGCCTAACTTTCCAAAAACTCTATAAGACTGTATAAGAACTGTGTGCTTTTTGTGTATGAAAAAATGTGAAAACAGACAAGTTACAGATTTCATGGAGAAGAGAACTTGCTCAAACTGAGATTCTCTTCACTGAGATTCTCTTCACTGGCCCTGCTCAAACAAGAGATTCTCTTCACTGATCCCAAGGTTCCATCAGGGATTTGCAATTCTTGCAGAACAAACTTGCAAAAACTAGACAGTTGTCAAATCAGCGGTAAGCTATCCAGACTATACAACTTTCAAAGCATCAAGATCACAAGAGAAAAACTGGCTGCATCTGTCATTGAGCAAAAAGTTGTCTGCTGTAAACTAAACGAAAAGGAACTAAAAGACTGATTAGAGCACAGAGTGGAAGATCAATGCTCCTCACTCCTGGACCTCCCTGCCAAAATTCAGAAAAGATACCCATGCTCTCATTAACCAACATAATCAAGGTTCAAATTAACAGTGGTCTTTCCAACAACAAAATCAGAGGACTTGCATTAACTCTCAACAAGCGGAGAAAGGTTGATGGAATCAAACTTCAGGGATGAGTTTTCCAGTATGAAAATGACTGCATAAAGCTTTTCAGCAATACAGATCTTTTGAGTAAGCTTGTGATCAAACATCAAGTTGCTCCTACCATGTATTTTGTCAAGGTTTTCAGACAATTATGAAATGCTGTTCTTTCATGCTTCGGAAACAATCTGTTCCCAGATTTAGAAGTTCACATCAATGCATTTTAAGAATGCTTTATGACTCTGCCGGTCACAGGCACTCAGGTTGAAAAAGAAAATTCAGGTTGTTTTTCATCACATCAAAGAGTTTATCAAAATTTACAACTTGTTTTTTTTTTGATTAAATTTGTTTTAATATTGTTACTATTTTTGTTTTTTAATTATTGCTGGAGGTATTGTTATTTGTGTTGTTATTGATGCTGGAGATATTGTTATTTGTGTTGTTATTGATGCTGGAGGTATTGTTATTTGTGTAGTTATTGATGCTGGAAGTATTGTTATTTATGTTGTTATTGATGCTGGAGGTATTGTTATTTATGTTGTTATTGATGCTGGAGGTATTGTTATTTATGCTGTTATTGATGCTGGAGGTATTGTTATTTATGCTGTTATTGATGCTGGAGGTATTGTTATTTATGTTGTTATTGATGCTGGAGGTATTGTTATTTATGTTGTTATTGATGCTGGAGGTATTGTTATTTATGTTGTTATTGATGCTGGAGGTATTGTTATTTGTGTTGAGTTTTAGTGAGCAATCATCTTAGGCACTTCATTCACTCTTTATCTCCCTCACTCTTCATCTCCCTCACTGGGCAAGATACAAAAGAGGTTTGGGCAACCCCAACTATGGAAAGCAGTTTTTTGACTGCATGCTAGACTACAACAGCAAGCCTCTTTAGATTAATGGCTGAAAAAGATAAAGATCTTTGGTTCAAATTTTTGCTTACTTTTAAATACAGAATATTTTTTAGATAAAATTTTAGTTAATATTTTTGTAAAGCATGTGCTTGTTTCAGACAATTTAAAACCTGTTTTGTTGTAGGAAAGTTAAACTAGAAAGAGTCTTTCATGTATTTTTAGAATTTATGATCAGAAGGAAAAAATAAAACTCTTCATTATGCTTTCATAACTATAACTCAAATTTTTATTGTCTACAAGCAAACCTACAAACAAAAAACAATAAATAAAGCAATAGGCAACCCAATTTTTTCATTTTCATTTATTTTTGCATCCTTATTAAGCAAATAATACAGTTACAGGCACAAATAATATCAAAGGCCGAAAGAATTAAGAAAAATTTCTTTAAAAACAGTAAAAATGGTTCCTCTAGTTGCCTCACTTTAAAGTCCCAATAATCACCCAAATAAAAAGATAATTGCTCCATTCATTTTTCTTCTGAAAGCTTTTTGAATACTCTATGTCCTTATACAGTTTTAAAAGTTACAATGCTACTTATATCATTTTGATGAAAACTGTCGGTGCTAAAAATAGTGTAAAAAATTTTGCTTTGTAGTTGGTATGTTTGAGCCTCAAATAGGAACAAAATATTCTGAACAAAAACCCCAAAAATGGTTCAATTTTAACAAGAACTTATAAAATCTATGAAAAATCACAATTATATTATTAAATGGAACATAGATAGCATTTACCCATTATTTTATTCAAACGGCATATTTTCTATGTGAAAACACTGCAGAGAGCATCTAAATTCAAACTCAATTTTGTAACCAGATTTCAATTTTTATGCCAAATGAACCACGAGTGTCTCTAGATTACTGGACATATTGTCATTTTTTGGTCCTTAATTTCAGGATTCGAGCCATAACTGACAAACTGTGAAAATTTTAAATTCTCTAGGAAAAAAACTCTAAAAAAACACTTTGACCTCTCTAACTATCCTACAATTAGTCTTCAGTCTAATATTATTTTCTTTATATAAAGTTTTTGAGATTATTAAATCATTTCTTTCAAACTGCAGTATTATAGTTATTCTAGAAGGCCTCTTTTTCATTTCAAGTAACTTTAAGGGTATCACAAGGTTCTATTTTTGCTCACGTATTGTTTCTTATCTACAATAACAATCTTTATGAAAATTTAACATCTAAAGGGGCTCTTTTTGCTGACAACTTCACTTTATACTCTTTGTCTTGATAAAAAGTCTTCTCTTTTTAATTGCTTAGAACAAGCAGCTAATTTTTAATCTGATCTCTCTTCTATATCAGCCTAAGGCTTGCAGCGGCTGCTGAATTTAAAGTCTGGACTTAAAATCTAAATTTTTTGTTAAACAACAAAACTAATTTATTTACTGCAAAAAAAAAAAAATTGCAGTATTGTTGGCATTCTATATTGACAAATAACAACCCACTTACTCTCAGACTAAGTTTAAAAACACGTTGTAAATGTAATTAGACCTGCTTTATCTGTCAAGCTTGAGTCACTCTCCCATTGTCGTAAGATTGCATTTCTTTCTTTCTTCTACAAATACTATCATGTTCAATGCTCAAACAAGCTATTATCTCTTTATAATAAACTAAAACTCATTCTTGTTTTGCTTCTTATTCAACAAGTTGCATCCTTTTACTTTATCTGTCCCTTCATGCTATACAAAATTTTATTAACTCAAGTTTTTTATACAACTTTTTAAGTGTTCAACTAACCATTTAAATCCTTTTTAATAGTGATTGCTTGCAACCTTGTTGGAAATAAATTAGAGTTGAAAAACATATAAATATATGCTAGTATTTAATAAATAGTAAATGTAAGCATAAAACTATAACATATAAAGTATTATAAATATCTTTCCTAGCTATCAACCTGCACTAAATCTGCAATAAATATAATTTTAAACCTGCAATAAATATAATTTTGCCTGTGCCAGATTTGCAAATAGTCTCATTTTTAGCCAGGGCCGGGGCCCCGCTCACTTATTACTGCTGTATATAAAAAATCATATTTAAAATAAATAAACATAAAAATACCAATTTTCTTCTCTCTTCTTTTTTAGCTTGAAGATGTTCAACTCTTAGAAACAAAAAAAAATATTCCTTAAAGCAAGTTAAAAATTTAAAAATTAAAAAAGTTAATACTAACTTTTTTAATTTAAACTTTTATATTAGTTTAAGATAAATGAATAAATTTTTGATAATTAAATTTTTTATTCTTTTAATAATTATCTTTTGACTTTAATTAATTAATTTTGATCAAAATTCATTTGTAATTAAAAGAAATGTCTCTTTCAGTTGGAGAATTTTGGCAACTTATCTTGAATGTAACTGATTAACTAAAAAAAAATCCAGTTTGAAACACTAACAAACCTGATGAAAAAATTAAATGTTATAGAAGATAAGCCGATTGGATGTTAAATGTTATGGAAGATAAGCTCATCAGATATTAAATGTTATATAAGATAAGCTGATTGGATATTAAAAGTTATAGAAAACAAACTCATTGAATATTAAATGTTATATAAAATGAGCTCATTGTATATTAAATGTTAAATTGGATGTAATTGATTAACTAAAAAAAACCTGTTACCAGTTACTGCTACATCATAAATAAAAATAAGTTCAATCAAATAAAAACAGAAGAAAAAAAAATTCAAAGTAAAAAAAGTAAAAAATTAATGATAAAACTTTTAGTATATATAAATAAAAAAAATAAATTAATCAAAAATAAACTTAATTTAAGTGACAAAGTATCATTTAAAGAAAAAACACATACCTATCATACTTTATACTTGTTAATCTTAATTTTTTTAGTTCGTTCTAAAATGAACACAAATTTTGTTTAACAGTTGTGATGATTGTCATAAATATTAAATCAAATTTAGCATATCAAAATGATTGCTTTAAATAACCAATCAAACTTAGTATATCAAAATGATTGTTTTAAATAACCAATCAAATTTAAAATTATGTATGACTTTAAAGTATAACTATTATAAAACAATTAAAATTTTTCTATAAAACTAGTAGACAATAATTATTATAAACAGATTTGATAAAATTTGTTCTCTTCAAAAGAATCTGCAGTTCAAAATTGAACATAAATTTTCAAAAAATAAAAAATTCTCTTTTGGGATTCAAACCTTCATTACCGTCTGCAATAGTGATAGTGCGGTAGTGATAGAGCACTTGTCTCATAAGCAAGAAGTTCCGAATTTGATCCCCACCATGTCCCCAGTAGTACTGTGCTCAACTTGTTTCAATGCAAAGTAGCCAAAAAATAGGCCTATTCGCCAAATTTTAATCTGGGCCCCTAAATTACTTCTTTGCTCCCTCCCCCCTCTTGTCTTTTTTCTTGACAAAAATTAAATACAATTTTGATTTAATTAAATAGAAACCAATATATTACTCTATGCAAGTCTAGTAAGTAGAAAATCTAATGAAAGTTTTTTTCTTGTCTTTATAACTGAAAAATGGTCTATAACACCATTTAAATTTAATTGAGCTGCTATTTCTGCTTCAGTAGCTATTAGGTCTAGTCCAGACAAAATTATTTTCGCCATTGTTGTCTTTAAATGTGTTTTAATGAGCTTAAGGGTCTTTTTGCAGTTGCTACGCTAATGGGTAATATCAAATATACATAATTGCTGCAGCACTTATGTATATAAAAATATAATAGCATGCTATTATATTTTTAAATGAGTAACTTATATCATAATACTTTATTGTAGACATGGGCAAAATACAAAAATGCAGAAACTTTCAATTTGTAAAATGCTGGAAAAAAGTGCAGAAAATTTCTCTTAACCCTAAGCTTATTGCTGCCCTAACCTAAGTCAATTAGATAATTAGGTAGATTTAATCTTCTTAGTCTTTCGCAGTATTAAAGATGTCTCAGGCTGGAAGTCCATTTTGTTACTTTGCATTGAATAGATTCAACCAAGGTTTTATCAGTTTTTAAAAAAGAAGCCTAAATAGACACTGTATATTTTTGGTGTGGTCTAATAAATACTTTATATAATATGAGAGTCATATTTTCATCAATGAAAGTGAATGTCTTTTGAATATCAAGAATTTGTAAGAATTTTAAGACAACTGTTCAAAAATGTGTGCTCCAATTGGCGTTAAATAAAATAATGACTCCTAAATTAGGAACTTTAGTAGAGCTATTTAGGATTGATTTATTATACCTTTTTAAATTGTTTCCTATTTATTCCAAAATATCTTAATATCAACATAAGTCTACTTTGAGGTAGAGAATCAATGCTTTGGCAAAATCAAAATTACATCAATAAATTGGTGAAATACTATAGAAGATGAAATAATATCAAAAGTTTCTATTAGATTAGTCTCACATAAATTATGGTTAAGAAAGCCATGTTGATTTGCAGAGAGCATTTAATTATCGTTAACGTGCTTAAAAATTTTGTTATTAACAAGTATTTTGACTAATTTGCAACCAACAGAGTTTATTGAAATAGGTTGATAATTTTCAGCAATTAATTTATCTTCTTTTTTTTTATAAAAACCGAATTAGGTAATTTCTAGAGTAAGTAGTATTCCAAAATTAAAGAATTTATGAAAGATTTTTGTAAATGGAAAAAATATAAGTAGCAGTTTATACCATGACAAATATATTTTGGTACAAACAAAAATTTGTATATTTTTTTAAAACAATATTTCAAAAAGCTTTATTTAGAATTTAAAAGTTGACATAATACTTAATAAATTATAGTAAATGTTTTGGAATAACATCCCCTTTAACCTTGATGACCAGCTTCAATCTTCTTTCAAAATCATTGCATGCAGCACGTACAGTTTCCAACGGCATTTTGTCCCAAATTTTGCTTATAACTTTTCTAAATTGTTCCAAATTTGAAAACTTATAATGGTTAAGATTAGCTAAAATGTAAGACCGTACAAAATAATCATATGGATTGCAGTCTGGTGAGCTTGGAGGCCATTCTTATTTGGTTAAAAAATCAGTCAAATTTTCTTTGCACCAAACCTGAGTAATGTAAGCCGTATGAGAAGAGGCTCCATCTTGTTGGAAACAGTAGTAACCTTCCCCATATAATTTCATATAATTTTTTGGTGTTCGGAAGCACATTTTTTGCCATCACTTTTTCCACATAGTATTTTGCATTAATTTTTGCACCTTTTTCAATGAAAATCGAGGGCAATTTACCTATTGGACAGATTGTGCCCCAAATCATTACAGAAGCTGCGTTTTGGAATCTTGGAACATGCCTTAGGTCTTCTGGGATATCCTCAATTGAAACAGACTAGTTTCTGTCATTTTGAGAAATGTGAGATTGTTGCAAAACAAAAAGTTTTTCATAAGAAAATATAATTTCATCACCTCCATGCCAGGCCAAAATGTTTTTTGCTCTTTTGACCCGTTTATGTTTTGATGGTTTGGAAACTCCATGAAATTTATGTTTTTTGAAAGGTTTCAACTTCAAATCCTTTTTTAAAACAATTTGCACTGTTTCACGGTTCATTCCAAGATCTTTTGCTACTTTCCAGGCAGATCAAGCAGAATTTCATTGAATTCGTTCTCTGATCACTTTGATTGCTGCTGGAGTACTTACAGAGCGTTTGCGTCCCGATCTTGGGTGGTCAGTGGTAGTATTCGTTTCCTGGAAGCATTCAATGGTACGATAAACCATATTTCTGGTGACTCCACCATTTTTATGGGCTCTAAAAATGTCCCCATGAGACTTTCCTTTTTTAAATTTTTCGACAATTATTTCTCTATACATTTTCATTGCTAGAAATATTACTCTATCAAATTAAATTAAATCAATTTGTATTTTACAATTAGATAACATATTGGTACTTTTAAATACTTTTTTGATGAACAATAAATTGAAAAAATAATGGGAAATTGTTAATACAGGGTTATACCGGAATATATTTGTCACGGTGTAGATTGGTAAGTTAATGTCTGAAATAGAAAAATCAAAGTTTTCATTATAAATTCATTCAGGTTAGTATAACCAGTGATGGATCCAGAATTTTTTGGTGATTGATATTACTTATGTCAAATAATGATGAATATAATTGAGAATAGTGCAAAAACAATTTTATCAACTTGTTTCCCCTCATGTTTGGGATGTAGGGGATGGGGATGAAGTCAAAGAGCTTTTTTGTTCCCAGCCAGATTCCAAAACAGATTTTTTAATATGTGGAGTAACCCAAAGATCATACTTTTTCTTTGTTTTATTACGGATAAAATATTAGCAAACAGTACAATTGTTAGAAATTAATAAATTAAACATTTGATCAGCGATTTTATGCAGAAATAAAATATTCCAGTTGATTGATGCAATAAAGTTTGATACTGAATTGTTATCACCTTTGCTGTAACTAAACAACTGAGATTCACTTTCAGGAAATTCTCAAGTGATATTAAAACGACCTTTAGTATTATTACCTAATATAGCATTAGGAAACAATTTTAAAATAGAATTACTGCTGTAGGTAAATAATAAGTCCAACATAGGCTTGAGCAACCATAGGGTGTCTGGACGTAGGAAATGTGATATGTTAAAATTACTGACAATGAACCAGTCATCATAGAACTACCTAATTAAGCTATGAGCTAATTACACTGCCACATCGATATCTGTCTTGCCAATTTTTTTCTTTAAAGTTAATGTTTAAATACAATAGCTTCACTATTGTACTTTGCTTTAAAACCATACGACAACATACTTACCACTTAACTAAATTGTATATTTATCAGTTAATGCAGTTTGTTTTAATTTTATAGATATAAATAAAAAGCTCACTATTTGAAGTATTAGTCAAGATTACTATTAAAGCTAAAAAAAAAGGGTTTGTAGTTCTTACCTATTTCTCAGCTATATAATAATAGCAAAAATTGCTTGTGTTGCTATGTTTATATACATGCACATTATTTTTAAGAATAATAACTTTAAAAAAAAATTGAAAAATTTGGCTTGAGCCCCTAATAACGCCTAGACCCTCTCATGGCTGCTGGTTCTGCGGGTCCTTTGCTACGCTACTGCATAAAAGTATGTTCACTTTATCTAATTTGTTAACCCTAATAACAGAAATGTTTTATCGTGTGTCAAACTTGACGTGGTGAGGTAAGTGCTCTTGCACTTGACATATCAAAGGTTTTATCATGTCATTGATAAATTTTCAAAATTAGCAATCTTCTAAATGCAATATCAACACACACTTTAATGGTTGCACATGGTCTGACTAAATTCTGTCTGATCAAATCATAATTTTATTGGACATTTTAACATTCACAATTTTCAATAACTTTCTGACTCAATCACATAATCTAAGGCTTTAGTCAGAGATTTTTAAGTTGTTCAATATCCAGCCTTTAAAATGCTCCCTGAATATTGAAATTACCTATGACTAACAACATTTTTCATTATTAACAATAACCTCTCAGGTACCAGAAACCTCTCAGGTCTAGGTTTTATCCTTAGTTCAATATTGATTCTTATCTACAATAATAATTTTTTTGACAATCTTAGTAGCTATCATACTACATATTGGTGGTGGCTATCATACTGTTTACTGGTGCAGGCTTGGACAGGAAATACATACAATCGCACTTCGTAACTGACCACGCTAATTATTTTTTTTCTTTACAACTTGACCACAGCTATTTTGATGTTTTAACAATTTGAATGCAATAAAAAGTTACATTATAAATATCTTTTAATTGTTGATCTTTCTAAAGTTTTTATTTTACATGAAGGCTTTAAATAAAACCACAAAATTAATTATAGTTATTGTTTACATAAACACATGTGTAAATTAATAAAAAACATTATATATAATTTTTTTTATGTAGGAATGTATTTTTTATGATAAATTTAAACGTTTGAAACTATTTTTTCATGTCTTCCTAAAACATTTTTAAACCATTATTTTTAGAAAGAACTTTTTTAAGTTATTTTAATGTGTGAATAAGTTCAAAAGCTTTTGTGACTACTAGCTTTTACACATTTTATGTGAATTATACAAGAATATAAAATAACTTAATTTACTTATATAAGCATGTATTTTGTTGATTAATGAAAAAGTTTTAAAGCATTTTGTAATGTTCATTAATTTTTTTTTCTATTTTTACGAATAAAAAAGTTGAAAACCTTTTTTTTAAATTAAACTTACTAATTAGAGCATGAAGTTATTAAAAAATATTATTTTAAATAAACAACGTTATTTTTTTAAACAATTTTTTTTGGCAACTTTTTTGAAAAAATAAATGTTTCTGCAATTTAAAATATTATATACAACACTTTTTAGAAAATTTAATAAAATTTGTTCATTTATTGAACAATCATTAGTAGTAATTTGTTACTTAATTTAAAAACGTTTTTCGTCACTTTATAACGTCTAAAAAGATGAGCTTTAATAACCTTTATTTCATACATAATTAAAAACGTAACAAAAAATTTCGCTTCGAGTTTAAGTTTTTATTTTTATTTTAATGCTTATATAATTTATTTTTCGTTTCTTTTTTTGTTAGGAATTTTTTATTCGTTAGAAAAGATTATCATTTTTAAATTACTTATAAACAGGTGGCTAATCTTATATGTGAACTCTTCTCTTTTTAATGGATTACATTATAGTTCATAATCCAAAGTTGATTTCTTCTAATCATAATAGTCATAATACTTCAATGATGAAACATTCTTACTGAAATTTATCTTGCTGCTTAAATAAGCCTTAACCTTTAGTTTCTTAGTGTGATTTGTTAGTGTGATTAGCTGCAAACATGAGTTGAGTTATGAGAATTGAGAATGAGAAAGCTAGCTTATAATTGCACAACAAATTTAAAAAACTCTTAAAAAGAATACACACTTTATAATTATCACATATTTATAACAGAAAAATGAAAAAAAAAAGATTTTGAGACAATAGATTTTTCCTAACAAAATCAGTTTTTAAAAGCTTTCTGCTATTTCAAATTTCCTAACAAAATCTAGGTATTTCAGTTTTTAAAAGCTATTCGCTATTTCTTTAAAAAGCTTTAAAAAAAATTTAAAGCCTTAACCTATTGCTTTTTTATTTAAAAACGTTTTAATTTCAATATTTAATAAGGAAGAAAATCAATGATCTCTTAATAGAAAAATTATGCTTCATTAACATAAAATCAGCTCTACAAAATCAACTCCTTGTAAGATTATTAAGCCTGGCACTGGCTCTAGTCAAAATCTAGCTTTAGTCTGTTAGTAAGTGTTATGACATATTTTACTTAAAAATAAACTCACCTGATAAAATTCATTTTCTTTTAACAAAAGTATGTGCAATTTATTTCTTCTCAATTCTAATAAATGTTTTTTTTCACTGGCAGCTGCAGATTCAATCAACTTGTCAACACATACCATACTTTAAATAAAGGAACAAAAAAAGTTATTTAAAATTTTTTTTTACCTTTACAGACTTCTAAAGACTTCAAATGGTTGCAGAATACATTAAAAATTTTTTAGAAAATTTTGAAAATCTTCAACAAGTTTAAGATTAATGGAATAACTTAATTAGAACTTAATAATTGTAATATTTTATTGCTTACTGTATAAAACAATATTTAAATAAATCTTTTTAAATCCAATAATTAGAATAATCACATATATGTTTTTTAGGCATTGACCTGACTCAATAATTAAAAATTTTTTTTTGCAATAAACATGATTCATTCAGAGATTTTTTAAAAATATCTATTGGAAGCTCCAATTAATCCAATCCAAATAATCCAGATCTCTATTTTGAACTTTGTTTTTAAGTTCAATATAGCATATTTTTCATGTTAGTATGAGTTTTATCAAATTTTAATTCATTCAATTCTTGTTTTCTCAACAAGTATACTCATGTCACAATAATGTTCTTATGTTAGTGTGCTCTTATGCATCATGATACTCGTGTCATGTCAATTAATTCTGAGATGTTAGTGTGCTCTAATATGCCATGATGTTAAAAGTATGTAATACTTCCAAAATACTGTTCTGATTTGCATTTAATGTAAAAAATTATTGAAATTAATTATGTTTTTAATTAAAAACATTTTTTATATAAAATTTAGATCCTTTTCTATAATATTATGAACAATTTATGGTAATAATATTATCTTTTATCACCACACCATTAATTTCTAAAAAGGATGTTTTTTTTGAGAAAAATTTTGTTCCGAAATACTGTCTGATTTGTTAAAAATGAAAAGTTTAATAACGTAATATTTTTATTGAAAAAAAATTATATATAGTATTAGCTTTTGAAAAACTCTTTAAATTATTTAATAGTGGTTAAAACCATTTAGTTTAAATACTTCATGTTTAATAGCAATAGACTTTATTTGTTTTTAAATCTGTAGCAAAAAATTCAGGGGTTCAATTGCTAGCGCTTTTATTGCATTTACTGCAATAAGAGCTCTAGCTCTTGTTGCAGTAAATGCTAGCATTTACTGAATAAACTTAGAAACAGACAACATTTTGGTTTAAAATGATTTCAAATGTATTTTGAATATTTTTAAATGAATAAAAGAGAGAGATACCAACAAATAATCTGGATTTTTTATTTTTTATCATATTATCATATATAACCATGTGTAGATAAAGAGATAAGATAGATACCCTACATTATTATTGGATATGTGCATATACTGCTTGCTGCATATGCTGCTCCAAAAAAAATCTAAACTAATAAATAAAGTACCGCAAAAACATAATTTGTAAAAAAAAATAGATCTTTTTGCAAAAATATAAAGGGGGTGCAAGGCCCCTTGGTACTCCCGTCTTCGTGGCTGTTAGTAAACACTTTTTAAAAAAAAATTATTTTCTAATTATGTCATTTTATTAAAGGTATTTTTTTTTTCTCATTATAATTAGCAATAAAATCAAATTGGAATAGTATTTTGGAACAAAAATAAAACTTGAAATCGAAACAGGATTTTTGGAACGATGTTTTTTGAAACGATATTTTTTCATCATATATTTTTTTTATAAAAAATCACTTATTTTTTATGTAAAAAATCACTTATTTTTTATGTAAAAAATCACTTATTTTTTATGTAAAAAATCACTTATTTTTTATGTAAAAAATCACTTATTTTTTATGTAAAAAATCACTTATTTTTTATGTAAAAAATCACTTATTTTTTATGTAAAAAATCACTTATTTTTTATGTAAAAAATCACTTATTTTTTATGTAAAAAATCACTTATTTTTTATGTAAAAAATCACTTATTTTTTATGTAAAAAATCACTTATTTTTTATGTAAAAAATCACTTATTTTTTATATAAAAAATCACTTATTTTTTATATAAAAAAATAAGTGATTTATTTGAATCCATTATCTCCATCATCTGCAACTAATCCATCATCTCCAACATCTACAACAAATGTCATTTCTGCTTTACACCTTTCATTAAAACAGTAAAAAATTCAAATCTGTTTCTTTTAGTTTAAATTTAATTTGATTTCATGAATTTCTCTCTTGATGCATGCCAACCTTGCTTGTAAACCTTTTGAGTCAAAATGGATGATGACATTTTTCTAAACAATTATTTACATAGATTGTTTAGAAAAATTATTTTGATTAATGCATTGATTGCTACAACTTTGGAAGTACGAAATAATAACTCAGACAAACCACGGTTAGAAATGGCCATCCCCATTAAACAATTTCTTGGAAATTTCTCTTTTCTCACAAAGCATACACTTTCTAGGCATGTTTCTTTGATGTCTGTGTAGTATCCAGAATTTCCAGGCATGTTAACACTTAAAAAACAAAAGAATTTTTCATCATTGATGACCAGAAGTGATTTCGTGTTATAGAATTGAATTATAAGTTTTCTTTTTTTTATTTGCTTTTACTTTTTGCTCAATGGTGTATTTGGGAGTCTTTTACATTTTCTGTATTGAATATTTTTTTAATTGACAAACAATTGTTGAATGATTTAAACTGAATTTCTAACCCAATTTTCTCTAATTGATTCTTTTTTTAGTTTTTAGTCTAGGATGTTGGACAGACTATTCTTTCTTTTTTGATATGATTTATGATTTCACTTTATACTATGCTTTTTTACAACAAAAAAAAGTGTAAAGTTTTTGAAAAGATTCTAATTTTTATTTAACCTCATTTTTATTTAATATTTCTTAAATAATAAAATAATAATAATTTATAGTAATGAAGATTTTTTTAAATAATAAAAAAAATATTTCATAGATTTTTTATACATGAGTCAAACCTTGTGATTAGTGCTGATTAAAACAAAAAAAAAATGTCAAGTTTTTTTAAACAAAGAAATATTGTATTAGCTGAGTCTGATGCAAAAATATGCTTTGTTTGGAATAGCCATATACAGGGGCTAATCTGAACAAAAGTTAATGTGGAAAAAAAAAAAATTTAATTGCATGTTATTTTTTTAAGTAACATTTTTTTGGATATCTTTTACAACATTATAAGATTGTAAAAGATTCAAAAAATTAATAAATAAAACAGATTTAAAAAAAATGCATTGTAAAACAAAACACAAGACAATAAATGTGATGATAATGACAATGATTATCATGATCATCATCCTTTTTATCATCATCATTATCATTATTATTATCATCATTATCATTTTATCATCATTTTCATCATCTTGACTATGACGATATGCAATTATATATTTAAAAATTAATATAAAATGTACTTTTTCACATACATTTTATAATTTACCTTTTTTCAAATGAGTCTTTTGAAGACCACTCTTTTATTTTATTAGCTTGAACTTCTGAATTTTTGAAAAATTGATAGTTGCTAACATTATTAGCATTAATTTGTTCTCTTTTAGCATAATGCTGAACAGATATTTCAGCAGGTGACTTCATACTTTTTACCCAGCGTGGACACAATGTTGGAAGTGCCATTTTACTTTCATTATATATATATATATATATATATATATATATATATATATATATATATATATATATATATATATATATATATATATATATATATATATATATATATATATATATATATATATATATATATATAGATATATATATATATATATATATGTATATATATATATATATATATATATATATATATATATATATATTTATTTATTTATTTATTTATATATATATATATATATATATATATATATATATATATATATATATATATATATATATATATATATATATATATATATATATATATATATATATATAACACCTAAATCAATATATGCACTGAACCTTATATAGTAAAGCAATATGAAAATTAAATTTTTTTAGTGAACCTATTTTGAAGATAAAAATTTAGTAAAGATAAAAAGGTCTAAGCCATTTTGATATCAGTGAATAGTAATTTTTATATCAAAACATTTAAATCTTTTTTTTTTTTTAATTTGATGAGCATCCCTTTGCAACCAACAACAACAACAACAACAACAACAACAACAACAACAACAACAACAACAACAACAACAACAACAACAGCAACAAAAACAACAACAAGAACAAAAACAACAATAAAAACAAAAACAATAACTACAACAACAACAAAAACAACAACAACAACAATTATATATTAACCAGATATATAGATGTACCACATGGCCTTTTCAAGAGTATAAATATACATGTATATTCTATAAAGAAAGTAAACAAGATTCAACTTTAAATAAATAAGGTAATTAGATAATTTGCAGAGTATTAAAAGATTCAAATGTATGATTTGGGTTTATGTTTTGGGTAGAAATTTAATTATTTTGATTGTTTGTTTTTTTCTGTATGACCAATTAGCATTTTAAGTTTATATGTGAAGTGAGAAAAAAAACAAGAGATTATTTACCTTAGAAAAAATGGCAAGAGATTGCCTTTTTTGATTAGCTAGTTTATTTAGAAAGGTAAACCATTGTTGTTGTAGAAATCTTATAGACAATTAAGGATTGGTTTTCCAAGAATTTTATCTATATTATTGAGGAGGGTTTAGTTTGATATTGATAGTTTAGAAATATTTCTAAATAAATCAGATGATTGATGCAAAATAGTTTTAATTATTTCACTATATTAAAAAGATGAAATCAAAATAAATCAGTAAGAAATATTTTTATTTAATAGAATTTTTATTCTTCCAGTTTTTCTAGATAATAAATATTCTAAAAACATCATCACAAAGTAATTAAAAATAAACATTTTAAGCTAAATCATTTGTTGATGTGGCTCCGTTCGGAACATAAAAAACGTAAACACGCTTTCGTCTATTACAAAAATAAATAAATTGTTAAGTTGCTAAGTTTATTTTAATTTTCGAAATAAAGAAGCTCCATGCTTTTAAGAGGGAGACCAAAATGGGCGACGCAATGCTTCAAAGGGCGTCGGACAACCGTCGTTTTTTGTTTTGTTTATTGTTTTTACAAATAACAAAATTTTTTTTACAAAAAATAGTAAACATTTTAATAACTGAAGCTGTGAAATCTGCCTAATTTTTGTATTTGAGGTTAACTCTTTGGTATTCGGAATAAAAATTCATATGAAAAAAAATTTAATCTAAAAATTCTATTATCATAATTAATTATTAACTTTTTTATACAAAAAAAAGGGAGGTTTAATTGAAGTTTAATTTAATGGAACCGGGCAAATTCTGTTAACCCAAGATCAGTAATGTCATCTAGCTATACTACCTTGTGCTCGATTGAACGGAAAATGAGCTAAAGTAGTTATAATGGTACTTGATCGAATTTTGCTTTGAAACAGTCGACACTGGTAGTGCTGGCAACTTCACACTGATAAATCTCACACTGAGCAGATAACCTTTGTTATTACTTTTCTCCTCTATTAAAGAGAAACTAATTGCTAGTAAATCAAAGAACGATTCTTGTGTGTTGAAGCTTTCGAAAAAAAGAAAAGATTCTATATAATAAAGTTTACCAATATTTTGATTTCTAAACTAGGTTTGGGTATTTGAATCTGTCGCAGTCAAGGCTTATTAAGACAAAATTATTCGGAAGCTTTATGTTCCCTGAAGCGCCTATAGTCTGAATTACGCTGGTTTGAACGCAGTAGAATCAGCCATTGAGATCAAAGTATTCTTTAGAAATGTTAACTCTTTTATTTTTTAATGCAAATTCTGCCCAATGCCTCTGAATCTCACTAAAGCGTCAGAAATTTTACTACATAGACTTTTGGATATTCACCCCCTTTTGTTGACCTATCTCAAATTGACAAGCTGGAGCATCATCATGAAAACATCTTGTCAAATAATAAAATGCTTCAATACTATTAGGATATTTTAACATTCGATTGCCCTAATTTCTAGTTTTTGTGTAAACCAGTTGAGCATCAGAAAACAGTCAACGTGCTAACATTTAAACTTCAAGTTTTTCAACTATTGATTGGAAATTAACTTGTCCTTTATTTTAGTTAAAATATTCATCATCTTTTAAATATATGGCTGCATCATATAAACAGTTGACCATGAATAAAACTTGAGAATAGTTAATAATTTTTTGAAAATTTTCAATGCTGTGCAATCGAAAAAACTTTTTATGTTGTTCTGCAAACTTTTTTCTTATTTCATTTAAGGGGATTTTTTTTCTATAAAACTATTTCCATATGTATTGTCGCCAATAATTTTCAATATTTGTGAAATGTTGCATTATAACAAAAACAATGTCTTTTATTGATACAACATGTGGGGTTGCATACGAGCTTATATTATCCAAGTAACACTGCGTGATAATACAAGCTCGTGTGATAATACAAGCTCGTATGCAACCCTAAATGTTGTATCAATAATAGACATTGTTTTTGTTAAACAAATTCACAACTTTAAAAGAATAAACTAATTATATTTACTCTTATATGTTTTAATTTGTAATTTGACAAATAAGCAACAAATACAAAACTTCGTAACAGCCATGAGTTGAGTCAGTTGAGAGTTGAAATTGTTGAATATGTAGTGTCATCTAAAATGGAAAATTTTTTTCCATTGAACAACAGTTCAGAAGCAGAAAAGTAAAAGTCTAGAACCAGAAAGTCAAAGGGAATGTGAAACCAGAAAAGTTAAAAATCGAAAAACAGTTGATCTTGAATTAGCTACAGCTGAAGCAGACATTTAAACATGTAAAAAAACAAGCAGTGGTAGACCTGCTAATTGTTTATGAAAAATATATTTTTTAATTACATCAAAAATTGTATTGAAAAACCTTTCCAATGATACTAAATATATATTGCTTTTTTTTTTGCAGCCCTAACTAAAGCATAAATGCAGTTTTCCCTGAAAAAAAACCTGGTTTGCCGCCTTAGTAAACTTAAGTAATACGTCAACTAAATTATGCTAATTTAAAATTTAAAAATTTGAATAATTTATAAATCACCTTAACTACACCAAAGTCACAAGAAATAGATATATTTCTTATGACGATGACTACAGCAAGTACTAAATAGTTGCGAAAAAAATTATTTGCATATGAGAAAGGAAGGTATGGCACCCCGTAGAATCGCCTCTGTATTAAATGTCTGTACTTAGTTAATAAGTAATAATTTATTATATGCACAAGAATAGGATTTTATGTGGATTAGAGCACGTTCGTAACTTTAGCTCAGTTACGCCTAAGTTACGAAAGTGCGTGAATAAGGATGTATTTTTTAAATAAATTATTTCTAATCCAAGGACGTATAAATAATCTATTGATACGTCCTTGCTAATACAGAGTGCAAGATCTCGGCTTAAACATTCTCGCGTTACTTGGCTAGCTGTTCTGCAATTTACATAAAGTTTGTTTACTTTAGTAATCGCCGACATGTGTCTAATGCGAAAATTATATAAAATTATTAAATATAATTAAATTTGTTTTTTTAACATCTTTGCTTCCAACAAGGCTGCAAGCAACCATTATTAGAGTTGGAAGTTACTGAAAGAGAAAAGATGAAGTTAGTAGAGCAAGATAAGGATTGGCAGAAGTCTAAAAAGATTGCAAATTATATAAATCAGCAAAGCAAGATGAAGGAAGCCAATTCCAAAGAGCTGATGTTTAAAGAAAAAAACTAGATGAATAAGAGTTTTTGGAACACTTAGGAACAGTCACAGAAAACGATGAGACTTTATTGAATGACGAGTAAAACAAGAATGAATTTTAGTAAATGACACAAGAAACGCTAGCTCTTTAGAGCACATCTATCTAATGCACGATGAAACCAATCAGCTATGAAACTATATGCAATGAAACAAATCAGCAGTAAAACAAGAAGATTGAAATACATATTGATGATTAGAATTTAATTTATTAGATTCAAGATTAAGTGTCTGTTAATTAAAATTTCAAAAACCTTGCTTATAATAGGAAGAAGACTAATGGGACGGTATTTAGATGAATCATATTGCTTTCTAGAATTTTTAAAAATGGGGATAACAGATGCTGCTTTTCAACAAGCAGGAAATCAAGACTCTGATAAGCACTTGTTAAATAGTTTTGAAAGTATAGATGACAAATCCAGAGAACACTTCTGTAAGACTATAACAGGAATGTTGTCCGGGCCACAAGCTGTAGAAGAGTCTGAGCAGGAAATTACTGGAGTGATACAAATGTTAACCAATTGATCAACCTGTTTGAGAGCTATATCAGGTAGAATGCAACTAGTAGAATTAAGAGATGATATTGATGAAAAGTTCATTGCAATTAATTCAGCTTTGTCTTTAGGTGAGGTGACAGTCTGACCCACACAAGAGAGGTGGAATAACCAATTTTCCCTTATTATTGTTAATGTTAGAGATTCTCCAAAAGTCAAGAGAGTCTAATTTTTGTGATGAAATACGAGATTTCATGACCTGAGATTAGCAGGCGTTTGTGTTAGACAAAAACTTTTTACAATGGTTTCTAGCAGTAATAAACAGGCGTCTGTTTTCTGAAGAATTTTTTTGCTGATAGATATGAAAGTAACAGTTTCAATTGGAATTTGCACCAGCACAAGTTGAGAAAAACTATGGAGAAGAGTGAGGCTTGACCTGGAATCGTCACGAGGGAATAAAAGATTCCATGCCAGCCTGAATAATCGAAGTTATGTAAGAAGCATATTTGTCAGCAGGAAGACAAAAAATTTTCAGCCAAGGACCATCACAAAGAAAATCACAGAAAGAGTATCAGTCAATTTAAGGTAGTTGTAAGAGGTAAGGTGATAGGAGGATTCTGATGATGAAGAAGAATGAGATATTAATTTTAGAGAGATTAAACTGTGATCAGAAGCACCTAAGGGTAAATGTAAAGAAACTGAGCACTGACTAGGATCAGAAACAAGACATAAGTCAAGTAGAGAAGGGTTTGTTTTGGGTTGTGTGGAAAGTGAGTTGGAAAGTTGACTATTTAAGTTAGAGATTGAGAAAGACAAAAGCTGTTGGTTTTAACACCTGCAGAGTTACTGACAATAGAGCCAAAACCTACTTTCCCAACAAATGGGTGAATTCTTATGAATGTAAATGCCCACGCCAAGCATTTGTTTACGAATTAAAGTATAACAACCAGCAACACTAAGATCACAAGATGAGACAGCTGAACTCAATTTAGTCTAACAAAGAGCAAGTAGGTCTGGTGAACTTTGCAAGAAATAAATATCAACAGAAGAGAAGTTATATCAAAGAACATAAATATTAGTGAATGATTTAGAGAATGGTTTAGAGAACTTGGTGATGACGATGGTTTTTTTGGTTTTATAGTTTTTGGTACTTTGTTTGGCTCTTAGAACACTATTTAATTGCCCAAGCAAATGCCTCATTACTATTAATAAACCTTAAGCTGTAACAAAGGGCTCCAAATGTGACCTTGACAATGCACACTCAAAGTATGAACAGGGACACCATCAATGCGCAACATGGCACTGTTAATACTTTGATATTTTTTAGCTGTTAATGGAATCAGCTTCTCTGAGAGCTACCACAGATTTCGGAAAACCTGACTACCAGCCGGCCTCAGAACCATAAAATTGAGTTTTAGAGCTGTACCCTTATTAGAAGATAATAAAATGAGAAAACAGAGACACAAGCAAAACCCATGCATTGAGTAAAGAAGATCCAGCATTCAACATCCTAAACCGGAAACAATTTATTAAAAATGCATCTGCGCCAGCCTAATAGATAAAGAAAGGGTGTGAGGCTGGTCAACAGATAGATTCTATTTACCTCTTAATGTATCCTAGAATTAAAAGTTAACTATAAGATAATGCTATAAAAGATAATGCTATAAAAAATATTTGTTATTAAATAATAGTTTAAAAATAATAGGTTGTTATATTTTTAGGGTGCCAAGTTGTTATATTTTCATTTATTTGAATTTTTTTTTTTTACAATTAACCCACTTTTTTTTTGAAACTTTTAAATTATGCCATGATAAGTTAAAAAATGTGTTAGGTAAAAGAAGTAATAAAAATAATAAAAATAATGAGAGTAGTAGAAAATAATCATAAGAAAACACCAAGATATAAGAAGTAATCATATATTAGAAATTGATATGAGAAATTTATAGATATTTGATTTCAAAAATGACTGTATTTATATCATTTTAATGTCATGTTTAACACGTTCACGCCGGCATGTACCACCGGTGGTACACACTAGACTGTCTCATTGGGCATTGTGTACCACTGGTGGTACACACTAGACTGTCTCATTGGGCAGCGTGTACCCCCGGTGGTACACGCCGCCCAATGAGACAGTCTAGTGTGTACCACCAGTGGTACACGCTGCCCAATGAGACAGTCTAGTGTGTACCACCGGTGGTACACGCCGGCGTGAACGTGTTAAAATCTTTTAAAACTTTGCAGAAACTGATGCCTGATTGTTTCGATTGCAATAAATTAAGGACTTTACTATTGTCCTCAATTTGGTTTTTTAAAATAGTTTTTCTTAAAGCAAAATGTAAAACATTTTTTATCAGTTTTTATTAGTTAATACTGTTAATTTAATAAAATAATTAGAAACAAAAATAGAGAAAACTCTTTTACAACTGCTTTATTGTACAGAATAATTAGCATCATTAAATATATATTTTTTCTTATTTATAGATGATTAAACCTAATATTGTTGTTCTATCAAAATTACTAGAAGGTACTGGCAATAAGACAACAGCTTCAAGAATATGGTTTGTTTATTTTTCATTTATTTAGATTATAAATTATTTATTAATTATTTATTACTATGAAAATATAATATTTTATTACAATTATTTGTAATAAAATATTATATTTATATAATATTTAATTTAATATTAAGTCAGTTAAAAATGATTTAATATTTAATTAAATATTATTTTTATTAAAATAAAAAGTAATAAAACAATTACAAACAAATATATATACATACATATATATATATATATATATATATATATATATATATATATATATATATATATATATATAATTTGTTGCTCCTAAATAATATGAAGTAGATTGTAAAAAAATATTTTAATTTTTCAATGTCTTCTTTTGTTGCCAGGAGGCCTCTCTGGAATATTGTAAACACGTTTCAAAGTATAATTTATATTATCAATCCATCTTGCTATAGTAGATTGACTGACTGAAATGGATTTTTGTTCAAAAAGTCTTTGTTTAATTTCCTTAAGAGTTATTCCACAATCATCATCAATCTAATTTTTGATTAGTACCTTGGATTCTTCTGTTAATTTTTTGTTTCTAGAACCACCTTTTAATTGCTGTTCTATCGGCAAACCGTTTTTATATTTTTTAATAATCGAATAGATTGCAGTTCGTTTAAATCCAAGAATATTTGCACGATATCTATTGCACGATAAAATATTTCAGTCACAGCAGTTAGCAAGTCAGACTTAGAGTTTAAGGATTGAAAACTGTAAAACTGTGAAACAAAGGCGCTGTGTGGAGAAATAGATTGAGACTTTCAGCAGAGGTAATTTGAACCCCAACCTTCTGGTTGTGAGCCAAATGTTTTGCTACTAGTCTACTAGCACATTTTACCTATAGTGCAAAAAGGGGCTCCATCAACTATAAATGATGTTAATTAATTGCTCTAAATTAAAAACATGTTCAGAATATTTTTGACTAAAATAAAATCAGTGTAAAAATCATGACAATTGAGTTATTCAAAGTTGGTAAGACAATATAAATGTTGCAAACTAGTTTTTTTTACTAACATGTTCAACATATCATTTCAAAAACTACTCTGCACAAGTTTACAACGTGTAATCAACAAGTTTGCAACATGATGTTGCAACCTTATAAGTTATTATCAATCAGGATGACTATGAACACTTTTTAAACATTTTTGTATCATAGAAGAAAACTGCTAGCCTAATCACTACATTTTTTTTTTATCAAAACATTATACTGTCCAGCTTCCTGGAAAAGTTATCGGCCTGATCAACTGGACTGGCAAAAAATGGATTTTTGCCTAAACTTTGTTTCTAAATATGTATAAAGTAAATTTGTTAAGAACCATTACAGTGTCTTCGCCACCAAGTTTTTTTTTTCCTTGAAGATGTTTTACTGGCTCAGTTTTGCAATGCAAATTGCAAACTGAATCAAAGTAACGCATTATATAGCTCTATTGTGTGTGTGTTTCTTCACCTTTTAGCAACTTGATACTGATGTTAATTTTCAACCCACTGTTCATAGTCACCCCTGTTGGTGGTACATGTTGTAAACTTGTAGCTGATGCAAAATATTCAAAACCTGTCAAAAGACAGATGAGCACGAGTGTCATTTTTACCAACAAATCTTGTCCTTGTGAAATGCATACAAGTTTTCAACATGTTCTCTTGTTGAATGAGCTAACATGTTGCAAGCTTGCTTGCACATAACTTAATTTTTTTTTAAGTTTTAAAGTTGTATGCACTTAAGGACAAATCTAGTAAACTGTAGTATTTTTTTTTTGCCTGACAACTTTCCATTTCTAAATATATATTATAAATATATATATTATATATAGTATTTTGCTTGTGGCTTTGTTTTTTTTTTTTTTTTTGCAGTTAACAACATAAAAAAATAAAAGATCAAATACCAATATAAAGGAATATAGACATTCGGGAGGAGATTAAAGATACTAAATAACTAGTAATGTCTTGAAATTTAGTTAATAGAATGATTTTTATTTCCTTTATAAGTATTTAACTAATTTAATGTTTTAATACATATTTCAATAACATTTATAATAACTTGCTAAATGTTTTAAAAAAATAATAAATAACCAACTTGCTACAAAAACAGATTGATCGATTTTGGGTATATTTTAAAGACCATTATGTATATAAATACAGTGTTTACAAGAGTAATTACAGTATAAAGGTTGCACTTGCTGATAATAAAGCATTTATAAGTGTTAAAATCAGAGATATCAGTTGTAAAATAGGTCATTTTTAAAAAAACCCAAATATATTTTGGGTTTTTTTGGGTTTTATTGGGTTTTTTTAAGGTGGGTTTTTTTGGGTTTTTTTGGGTTGGATTTTTTTGGGTTGGGTTTTTTTGCCAACCCTGCCTCCAGGAAGGTTAAGTCTTCTTGAACTTTTTCATGATCTTTATCCTAGCTTATCCTTTGCTTGAAATCTGATCTGGATATGTCAAAAAACAAATCAAATTCTTCTAAAAACAAATTATGATTTGATTGTGCTTTTTTCTTTGACCAAATATTTGTCACTCGAAGCAAATTTATGTATTTATTCTGTATCTTGCAAAGCTTTTTTCTAAAAAAAGAGAACTGCTTTTTAGGGGTTCAAATTAAGAAAAACATGAAATGTTTAAATGATGAATATTACATAGAAACAAAACATTTAAAAAAATATAAAACATAAAATAGCCTTATGACTGAACCAGTCTGAATTGCACCTCCAATTCCTGCTCTCTTCTAAACTTTCTGAACTTCTTTCACCACACAGTTATTTCCATCCTCCCTGTCACACTTGTTGTCTTGGCAAACAAGATCAAATCCACCGTTTTCCTGAGGACAACCCATATTTTCCTTGCAGGGCTTGAATTTATAGCTTTTGTCTGATTGCAGATATAAGTAGTACCTGGCAAAAAATAGTTATATTATGTATTTTTTAAATTTAATTTTGATTAATTTAAATTTGAGTTAGATAAGTTAAAATTAAATAGAATGAATTTATGTAGTGAAGTTTTTAAAGGTATTAACTTGTCAAAAGTAAACCTTAAACTGTTTCCAATAGTAGGAAGCTCTCTATCTGATAGACCATTTTAAGGATATTTCAGAAGGTAACAAGTTCTCCTTGGATTGGTAGAATAACTATATATTTTTCTTTCAGCTTTGCCCATTTTGAAATACTTTTCAATATTTTATTTAGCTGGAAATAAAACGTAAAGTAAAACTAGTCTGTTTTTGCAATGTAGAATTGAATGGGCAGTGACTGATTGTTTGACACTAAATAAGCCGCTAAGGATAGTTTTAGTATTTGCAATTTTTTTTAAGTAAAAACTTTATAAACTTTATTCCAAAAAAGTACAAAAAAAAACTTTTAATATAAATAAAAATTAAAAAATTTCTAATTTTTAACAAAAATTGCAAAAAAGCAGCATCAATGTAATCCTGTTAGATTTGTCCTACAGTTCTAAAACTTTAAATATAGTCTTTTTGAGTCAAATGAGTAAGATTAGAGAGTATGTATGTATGTGTGTATGTATGTGTGTATGTATGTATGTATGTATGTATGTATGTATGTATGTATGTATGTATGTATGTATGTATGTAGTGAGTCCTTTTATTTGTAGTGAGTCCTTTTTTACTGCAGTATGGAATAGGCGTAAGTCGCGGGGTAAAGCTGCAGTATGGAATAGGCGTAAGTCGCGGGGTAGCGAAAAAGCTGCAGTATGGAATAGGCGTAAGTCGCGGGGTAAAGTCGCGGGGTAAAGCAGGTCAGGTTTTCCTGCTACTTGTAACATGTAACCCAGTACAACTCCGAATTAAAACACCCCCTGCCTTGGGGCTCTTGGTTGAGTAAAGGCTAGAGATGGTGTCTCGATAAAAATACTCATCTTGGGCAGATGTTACATGCATCCAGCTGCTGTCTTGTAGAAGGCCTCCTAGGCAAAGACTTAAGGGGTAAACAGATTCTATCTGTTGACCAGCCTCGCACCCCTTCCTCATCTATTAGGCTGGCGCAGATGTATTTTTAATACATTGTTTCCAGTTTAGGATGTTGAACGCTGGATCTTCTTGACTCAATGCGTGGGTATTGCTTGTGTCTCTATTTTTATGACTGGGCAACTCATTCTATTATCTCCTAATGAGGGTACAGCTCTAAAACTCAGTTTTATGGTTCTGAGGCCGGCTGGTAGTCAGGTTTCCCGAACTCTGTGGTAGCTCTCAGAGAGGCTGATTCCATCAACAGCCGAAAAATATCAGAGTACTAACAGTGCCATGTTGCGCATGGATGGTGTCTCTGTTTGTACTTTTGGTGTGCATTGCAGAGGCCACATTTGGAGCCCTTTGTTACGGCTTAGGGTTTATTAATAGTAATGAGGCTATTGCTTAGTTGTTAAATAGTGTACTGAGTACTATCTATACTTGAGTCAAGTTCTTTATAAATTTAAAATGACTAAAGTACCTAAAACTAAAAAACACAAAAAACCATCGTCATCACCAAGTTCTCTAAACCTATCATTTACTAATATTCGTGGTCTTCGAAGTAACTTTTCTTCTGTTGAGTCTTATCTCTTGCAAAGTTCACCAGACCTACTTGCTCTTTGTGAGACTAATTTGAGTTCGGCTGTCCCATCTTGTGATCTTAGTGTTGATGGTTATCTTCCTTTAATTCGTAAAGACTCCAATAATCACATGCTTGGCCTGGGCATCTACATTCGTAAGAACTCACCCATTTGTCGTGAAACTAGGTTTGAATCTACAGACTATTCATTTATGTGCTTTCGTTTTGCACAACTTCACTCTATCGCCTTTCTCTTTGTTCTATATCGCTCTCCTTCATCCCAAGATTGCACTATTCTTGATGTTATTTCTGATCAAATTGACCAAGCCCTCTCTCTTTATCCATTGGCCAATATCGTCGTTGTTGGTGACTTTAATGCCCATCACACCGATTGGCTTGGCTCTAGTGTCAGTGACTCTGCTGGCGTTAAGGCCCTCAACTTTTGCCTT